AAAGTATCTATTTTATTTTTTAGTTATTGTAATATCTACTTAACATTATAAATACTCTTCTAATTTACAATATATTAAACAAATGTCATTACCTTTGCATCATACAATAAGGTTGATTTAGTCTTTTTATTTTTATTTCTACTGCATTCCAATAAAATATTAATATTCTTAAAACTCTGTAAAAAAAATAAATAGATAAATAAATATGAGACGGGGGAGTATATATTATTCATTTATTTTTTTCTTATTCAATTTGGTCACAGGCATAAAAACTTACTTTTAAACAATACATTAATTTTATTTTTTCTAAAAAAAAAAAGTCAATAATTAACAATAATTGTGAAAACTCAGTAGAAAATGACATTAGATCCCCCAAATTTATTTAAAATTAAAATTAATTTATCATCTAATCCAAGAACTTATTTAATTATATTTCTCCAATCATATATGTCAGATTGCATAATTATCCTACCAATATTTGTCCTACCCTATCATCAAATAATTAAATAAATAAACATGAATAAATGGAATCAAAATTAGGTTCAATAATATGGTTCAATTACAGTGAAAAATAAAAAATAAAAAATAAAAAATGGATGTATTTGATGTGATATATATATATATATACATATTTAATATATTATTATTTTTTATATAAAAAAAATCATGTTAAATAAAGAGAGTGAAAAACTTTAAAAAAATATGTATATAAAAATAAAGTTATATTAACACAATGATTGAAAGATTTATGATTTGTTCACTTATGTTTTCAAACACATCTTTGTAATATTCATAAAAATAAAAAGTAAAAATATCTCTTTAAAAAAAAATATTACATCCATTTTTATTTTTATTTTTTTTTTTATAAGATTATTATCAATTTATGTTACATCGTAAATTTTATTTATATATATATATTAAATTTTTATTGTTTCCCCATATATATTGAATAAATATTATATTGAATTATATACAAATTTTACTATAAATATATAAATGTGCATCATTATTATTATTATTTTGAATAGTAATTTAAATATAATAATGTTTTACTAAAAAATCTTATATTTTTTTATAAGAAAAATCGTATAAACTGAATAGTAAAAAATAAAGAGAATTGTTAAGTGAATTGTTAAAAGAATATTTTTTTTTATCCAAAATATAGAAAATTATGTAAATAATATAAAAATAATGAATATGTATAGTATATTAAATTTTTTAAAAAAATATAAAAAATTTTGGATAAAAGAACAAAGTTACAAATGCATAGATGAAAGCTTGGGTTGAGTTATTCCACATAAATAAGCCCAAAAATTAATTTGGGACTATTATTGGGCTTTCATAACAAGCCCAAAATTAAAAAAATGAATGGCCCAATAAAATATGGTTTTTTTATGTTATTACTTACCCTCTCGTAATATTCTCAATATAATCAAAATTCATCAATTTTGGTCCAAATATAAAAATCTTATTAATTTTGATCCCAATATAACTAAAACTCATCGTTTTTTTGTCTCAATATAAAATTTTTATTAATTTTAGTCTCAATATAACCAAAACTCATCGTGTCACAATATAATCAAACCTTATCTTTTTTTGGTCTCACCGTCAACAAACCGACGGAAAATATTGACGTAAAAAAAATCAAACCTTATATTTATATTCGAAGAAATTGTACAATCTTGCAAGTCCACGTCAGCATTTTCCATTGGTTTGTTGACGGTGAGACAAAAAAAGATAAGGTTTGATTATATTGAGATAAAAAATGATGAGTTTTTGTTATATTAAGACTAAAATTGATAAAAATTTTATATTGTGACCAATAATGATGAGTTTTGGTTATATTGAGACAAAAAATGACGACTTTTGATTATATTGAGACCAAAATTGATAAAATTTTTATATTAGGACTAAAATTGATGAATTTTGGTTATATTGAAATAAAAATAATTATTTTCCTATTATTATTATTATTATTATTGTTGTTGTTGTTGTTGTTGTTGTTTTTTTTTTTTTTTTTTTTTTTTTTTTTTTAATATATATATTTAGCATTTCATATATTTATATTAAATATATAAATTTTATTTTTATAGAGTGACTAAGGTATTAATTAGTGTTAAATAAGTATGGTATTGATAAGTCCATAAATAATTATATTGGTAGTGGGTAGAAAGTATGGATAAAAGACTTTTATGTTCTTGTGAGTGTACTATTGTAAAAAATAGTAGCAATTGTATAATAAAAATTGTTGATGTAATTTTTCAACAAAAATAAAGTAAAATTCAAAGATATAGAAAATATCCTTAAACTTGATTAATTAGTGCCTGAGATTAGGAATCTCTAAACACTGTATGGTACAGAAAATAAACTGGAAAATAAAAGACTGAAATTTAAAGTGGTGATCCCCAAATCTGACTTTGCTTTGTTGAAGTTGATTGAAGATGCCTTGCCAAATGATGATCCAAATCCTTAAATATTCTTTGAAGAAAACGTTCAGAACCGTCGCACTGTTTCACCAACCGTTCCCACCAGTTACAGAACTCAAAACTGCCTCTTTCATTGACACATGTCTTTAACCGCCTCGCCAACCGCATAACCCAACGACCGACCAACCAACCAATCTAGATACATAATTGGTCGCCAGATCAAAAGACTCACTGGTCGCCCCATCAAACGACCACTATTTGGTCTCTTCAATCGTCTGACCTATCAACAGACCTTTCTTCGCCCGACTTCCTTTTTCGACCGACCCCCATAGCAGCCAACCTTTGTATCAACCGACCCATTTATCCGACTGCGGATAATCCGACCTGCTTGCCCGACCGCGGACCATCTGACTTGCTTATCTGATTGAGAACCAACCGACTGAGAACCACCGACTGACTTTGGATACCTTATTATTATTATTATTATTATTATTATTATTATTATTATTATTATTATTATTATTATTTGTGCGTAACAACATGCCTCCTCCTCAAGACTCCTAAGCATCATTTCTTATGATGTTTTAGGAGTTAGTAGGTTAGCATCCGAGGCTACGTCAGCCTCAGATCCGACCTCCATCCTTTGAGGCTACGTTGGACCCGACCTCCATTTATCGCGGACTGGTGCTGGCCTGGACGTTGGTCGATCTTGCACTACCATTGTATTCAGACTCCCGTCCGACTTATTCCTCCTTTCGGCCACTGTTGTTCTGTCATTCTTTTGCTCGCCTGAAAAGTTATGGTCGGCGACCTGACCCGTGTCCGTCCATTCGGCGGGGTCCTCCTGACCTGTATCCGTCCATTCGGCGGGGTCCTCCTGACCTGTATCCGTCCAGGTTACGTAGTCCTCCCGATTTTTGTCCGTCCAGTCGACGTGGTCTTCCCGATCTGTATTCGTCCAGTCGGCGTGGTCCTCCCGACCTTTGTCCATCCAGTCGGTGTGGTTGTCCCGACTACGGTCCGTCCATTCGGTGTGGTCCTCCCGACCATGGTCCGTCCAGTCGGTGTGGTCTTCCCGACCATGGTCCGTCCAGGCGTCGTGATCCTGCCGACCTGTCTCCGTCCATTCGGTCGTCCCTGGTCGGGCCTGTCCTCCTGTTTGGTCCTGTCTCCAGTCTGTCTGACTGGGTATATGCTCAGGAATGGCGTTGTCCGTTTGGGGGCATGACATTTCTGGCGGTGCAGGAACCGAATTCAACATGAATTTTGATTGCTCCATCAAGTTTTGCATTGCGTCATGTATTGCCTGTAGATTTGCTATCTGCTGGTCGTACATTTGCCGAAAACCTGCTGTCAATTCGGCCCGTAGTTGGGAAGCTTCTTCTGCCGTGATAAAGCCAACGGCTGTACTGTGGAATTGAAAATTTGCCATATGGATCAGCAATTTTCTCCCACTGTGGTCGCCAATTTGTTGATGTAATTTTTCAACAAAAATAAAGTAAAATTCAAAGATATAGAAAATATCCTTAAACTTGATTAATTAGTGCCTGAGATTAGGAATCTCTAAACACTGTATGGTACAGAAAATAAACTGGAAAATAAAAGACTGAAATTTAAAGTGGTGATCCCCAAATCTGACTTTGCTTTGTTGAAGTTGATTGAAGATGCCTTGCCAAATGATGATCCAAATCCTTAAATATTCTTTGAAGAACGTTCAGAACCGTCGCACTGTTTCACCAACCGTTCCCACCCGTTACAGAACTCAGAACTGCCTCTTTCATTGACACATGTCTTTAACCGCCTCGCCAACCGCATAACCCAACGACCGACCAACCAACCAATCTAGATACATAATTGGTCGCCAGATCAAAAGACTCACTGGTCGCCCCATCAAACGACCACTATTTGGTCTCTTCAATCGTCTGACCTATCAACAGACCTTTCTTCGCCCGACTTCCTTTTTCGACCGACCCCCATAGCAGCCAACCTTTGTATCAACCGACCCATTTATCCGACTGCGGATAATCCGACCTGCTTGCCCGACCGCGGACCATCTGACTTGCTTATCTGATTGAGAACCAACCGACTGAGAACCCACCGACTGACTCTGGATACCTTATTATTATTATTATTATTATTATTATTATTATTATTATTATTATTATTATTATTTTTTGTGCGTAACAAAAATAAAAAAGTAGGGATAGTTTTATGGTGATATGATTATTTATGAAAATAAGACTATTGTTTTGGAACGAACAAAAATAGTAAATAAGACTATTGTAATGAGACGGATGGAGTATTTAATTTTTATATATGTACTAAATAATTTTTAAAAATCAGAATTATACTACAAAATTTTAATCTAATTCTCCAAGAATTCTATATCTAACTTGATTTAAAAAAAGAAAAAAAGAAGAAAGTATTTTATAAATAAAAAAAATAAAAGATTTTAATAATATATACGGAAAATAATAGAAAAGACAAGCTGGCAATGGTAGGCTTTTATGTATATCCGTTAGATGACTCAGCAGCCATTTATTTATCAATTAATTTATTTATTTTGCCATTGACACGTTGACGGAGTGTTGGTTTGTTATTTTCGAAGCCCCTCTCACTCCTCCTTCGGCGCTCTCTAAAACCTCCGCTCGATTCGCGCGCGGAGAACCACCGCGGTGTTTGCGCGTGATCTACTTCAGGTGATTACCTCTTTTGCAACCGAATTTTGTGTTTAGTTTACTTGATTTTGTGTCATATGGTTGGTTACGTATACGAAACTCACTGAAATCGGAATTAATTTACTGGATTTGGAATTATGTTGGTTTCTTCCTCTTTGATTGGGAAATTTGGTGTTGCGATTTATTCCATGTGTTCCGGTCGAGGTTTTGGTCGGTGGAATTGTTTGTGGAGTGTGCTTGAAATTATTTCGTGGTTACGCAAATGATAGCGAAAGAAAGCTTAGTTCATGTTTGGATTGTCTGGTATTGAGGTGCTCCTGGATATTGACGATAAATTAATTTTTCAAAATTTGGATGGTAGTGTTAGATGAAGGTTTTGTAGGAGAAGACAACTAATTTGAAAATTAGACTTAAACAACAGTACGAGAACGAGAAATGTAGGCAGAACAGAAGGTGATAAGTGTTTATATTATATATGTATTGGAAGCTGTATGGAATAAGTTTTGTTACCTTTTAGTTGTTTTAACTACATGAGCCATTAATGATCAAACTTTTCTTAGTAAATTGAGTTGAAGAGCACTTTATTCATTATTGTTGATTAAAATGCTAGAAATAGAATGAAAATGAAAGCCAATCAGTATAAATACTTGAAAGATAATATACAACTCTTCTATGATATTGGACACAACTATATATGATGTGCTGGATTAGGTTTATACTTCAACTCTAAATGACCTTCTGAAGATTGTCTTAAATTTGTTGAATAACTATGTGATATAAGATCTTAAACTAGGTAGAAATAACAAAGGATATTATTCTATCTAGTTATTTTAACACATTTTAATAGATCAATAAAATCAATTTGGAATATGAGAATGCAAATGCAGGTGATTTTGATAATGGTTAAAAAATTAAATAAGCATACTCGATAAGTTCCGAAGTCTAGGATCAACTGATTTTTTGTTCTTTTTTTGGGTGATATTATCATTTTAATCCAAAATATAGTGAAAGATACGATAATGGTTGAGGAAGGTTATGGTTAGTAATTTCTTCATGAGGAGTAAAATATCTTAATAATTTCAAGTATAATTTCTTGATATACTTTTATATAACAAAAATCGGTCTAGATTTCAGATTCACTTATGGCCCAGCCAATAGTTTGTAAAATGTGTTATATTATTGTTTTTCATAGTTGTCAATAATGCACTGTTGAAGAGTGGGCGGAGGTCCGCCACAGCCATTCCCTGGCGGTGCATTTCTGCACTTGCAGCCATGATGCGATGTGGTGAGGGGTGGCCACAGCAAAAAGATGAATAAATTTGATGTATAGACTTAAATGGAAAGTAAATACAAAATTTAGCGGATGGAGAAATAATTTTTATATGTATCTTTTATGTTTTCAAATAGCAGTTATCACATTATCCGCTATCTGGTCAACTGCTATTTACCTTTATCGAGATTGACAACTATGGTACTTTTGAATTGTCCTCTTTGCAAGCATGCATCTACCAAACTACCACATAAATGACATAATTTCTATTCTTTCTCACTTCTCAGGAACATGGAGATTGGACCTGGAGCTTCTGAAGCACTTTCAAGAAACTATAGACTTGGAAAAACGCTTGGCCATGGCTCATTTGGAAAAGTTAAAATTGCCGAACATATTCAAACAGGTCATAAAGTGGCCATTAAAGTCTTAAATCGCCGGAGAATGAGGAGCCCTGTTATGGAGGAAAAAGGTGAAATTTTTTTTTTTATTATTTCTCAAAGAAGGTTTCTATGAGAATGCTTCTTAAACTTTATTTATTTATCTTTTGCTACTTTATGAATTCTTCTTGACAATGCTACCTTTGTTGGTTTTCCATTGAGATTACTCTATATAGTCTACAACTTTCTAAATGCTATTTATGTTATGCAGTGAGAAGAGAGATTAAAATATGTCGCTTGTTTGTGCATCCACATGTAATACGTATCTATGAGGTTATTGAAACACCAACCGATATATATGTTGTCATGGAGTATGTGACACGGGGAGAACTCTTTGATTATATTGTTGAAAAGGGAAGGTTACAAGAGGATGAAGCTAGGCGTTTTTTCCAGCAGGTAGAATTCTTTGTCATCCTATTCCTAATGATCTGTGTGGTCTATGTCATATTCTTGTTTTGGATCAGATTATTGCAGGTGTTGAATATTGCCATAGAAATATGGTTGTCCATCGTGATCTCAAGCCCGAAAACTTGCTTCTGGACTCAAAGGGGAATGTGAAGATAGCTGATTTTGGTTTAAGCAACATTATGCGGGATGGACATTTTCTGAGGACAAGTTGTGGAAGCCCAAACTATGCTGCTCCAGAGGTTGTATAGTCAATATAGATTTGTGTGTGAAAGTTACTTATGATAAATTTTAGGACTACTTTTTCTCGAAGATGCAGTTTGCTACTTTGCTGTATCTCTGCTCCTTATATTTGAGTTGCTTGCAGGTTGTGTCGGGAAAACTCTATGCTGGTCCTGAGGTAGATGTTTGGAGTTGTGGTGTTATTTTATATGCTCTTCTGTGTGGCGCACTTCCTTTTGACGATGAAAACATTCCTAATCTCTTCAAGAAAATAAAGGTACACGCACAAGGAACAACTCTATTTCATGAGCTTTGAATGCTTAGGATTATTGGTATCCCAAAATGTGACATGAATTAAAAATTATTTTTCTATGATTTTTGAATATGTTAGAGTGGAATGTATACACTCCCAAGTCATTTGTCATCGGGGGCTCGTGATCTAATTCCAAGAATGTTGGTAGTCAACCCTATGAAGCGGATAACCGTCAATGAGATACGCCAGCATCCTTGGTTCCGAGTAAATCTTCCACGCTATTTAGCTGTTACTGCACCTAATGCCACAGAGCATCTAAAAAAGGTAGCAGCTGTTTCTCCCGTGGTTTTAGGGAAAGTTCAGACACTTTGAATGAACCATAGAATAGTATTTTGTTTTTTTTTTTGGTAACTATATTGACATAAAAAGGTTGCATTTGGATGGGTATAGTGAAATTTACTCAACCACTCAGTTTGTATTTGAGGTTTTATAAATTATCATGTTTCATGAGTAACATTTAACCATTTTTTCTCCATTCGCCAACACAAAATTTTGTATATCCTACGAAAGTAAATTAGCTGGATTCGTATCTGAACTTGTTATAATCTAGTCATCAAATTTCCGTGCTTTCTTGCTAACAATATACTTGCTTTTTTTTTTTCGCAGCTGGATGATGAGATTATTCAAGAAGTTCTTCATATGGGATACGACAAGAGCCTGCTGATAGAGTCACTGCAGAATAGAATGCAAAACGACGTATACAACATCATGAATTTTTGGCTGCTCTTTCGTATAACATTATTTCTGTAATCATCTTAACACTGCCGTCTTTTCCTGCAGGCTACTGTGGCATATTATCTATTATTTGATAAACGGTCCCCAATTTCAACAGGTTATCTGGCTGCTGAATTCCAGGAGTCCATGGTATGTTTAAGTTTAATGGAACACATTACTTTCCGACTGTATTTAAAACCCGTGCCTTCCTGGTCCGTTAAGATGGATTTTTATACCAACCACGTATCAAACAATTTACTAGAAACAAGATTAAAACTGTGAAATGAACTCTTCAGTATCTTAGCGAGCTAGAAAAGTTGATTCTTCTGTCGTCTGAAGTCTATGCTAGATTATCCTAGAACTGCATCTGTTAGATGTGCTCTAGTTTCTGATCGGAAAAGGAAACCACCCATTTTTAATCTGATGTAACATGAAAAGTAATTATTGTTTGGCATAATGTAAAGCTCAGCTGTAAATTATTTATCATTAAAAAAAATGTAGCAGAAAAATGCATAGTCGACATCCATATATTGGTAGAGGTGGCTCGGTGTTGGAATTTTCAGTCGATATGATTTTTATGGGTTTGACGTATCTATTCCTTTCCAATGTAATAACATCTCGATAAGGTGCTTAAGTAAGATTCAGACATAGCTTATCCATTCATATGTGTATTTGTACTCTGTTTTTAGGAGCATGTTACGACGGGACCTTTCGTAGATGCTAGCCTGCATGGGCCTCCAATGGACGGGACTGTGCTATCCCCGACAAGAAAGAAGCAGTGGCTTGTTGGGCTTCAGGTTTGAGTCTGAAAATGATTTTTTTTCCCCTTTTTCCCATCAGTTATTTGAAACTCGATTCTTTCTTGGTGATAAAATGTGACAGTCTCCAGCACGTCCTCGGGATATAATGATCCAGATTCTCGGTGCTTTGCAACGACTCAATGTCAGGTGGAAAAGAGTCGGGCACTACAACTTGAAATGTCTTTTCACTCACGGCGCTCCGGATCAGGACGGTAATCACATGCACGACAGCCATCAAATGTGCAATGGCGCTACCACAGATGATGCAAACGTGTTACGGCCGCAGGGTGTTGTTAAGTTCGAATTGCAGGTACGTTATTCGAATTGCCCTTTTATACTTTATTCGATTTCTTAAGTTAGATAGTGCTGGGATTAATTCAGCGTGCTTTCCATGAAATAGCTTCACTTTAAGATTTCATCATGCATGTGTTTGGGAAAAAGCATAGACACAATAGGATAGCACGAACTTCATGGACGTCGTATCTTGAGTAGTAAATATCTACAATAAAATGTAGCGAAATTTTTAAAAATTTTGAAGCCAATATATCTTGGATAGATAAAAAATATCGAACCCTTTATTTAGATTATATATAAATTTACTTTTCAGAAAGTGATATATAATTATATATATGTTTTAAATAATGTTTAATTATATATGTTTCGGTTATAATGTAAAAATAAATTAAAGGTTGGGTGTAATTTATAAATATAAAAAATTATATAAAATAATATAAAAGAAGAATATATAGGGAATATACTTTTTAAAAGCGAAAATTGAAATTTATAGTTGGAGTAAAATTACAGTAGATCAATTTTTACTGTAAAAACGGAGTAATGGGCTGAATGTGGTTTTAATACTCCCTTGTTCACCAAATTTATGTATGATTATTATTATTATTATTTTTAATTTATCCATACAAAAATATGCACAAATAATTCTTACATATTCTTTAGTTTATATCCTTCACTTAATCATAAATATATCACCACTATTTATGCACTCGATTTATAAAAAATAAAAATAAAAATTTCTCTCAATTTATTGACTTCATTTATGTACTTCCTAAATATATTTATTTTATGTCATAATTAACTAATATAATATAATATTCATTAAAACCCATATCCAATTCAAATGAATATAAATTTTGTGGACGAAGGGAGTATAAAAGTAACGTAGGGGTATTTTGAAAAATTAATTAGAGCATGTATTTAATTGGTAGTGCATGTGTGATGTAATGACAATGACAAAATTGTCATTATTGCTAAAATACGGGTAATATTTAAGTAGATGGTAAAAATAGTTTCTATTTATGGCTTAAGCACAAATTTGACGGACGGACTTAAATGGAAAGTAAACATAAATTTAAGGAGTAGTAGAGAAAGACTAGTTTGATAGCTGTATTTGATCATCTATCTACTGCAAGGATGAACAGGAATGTAGAATTGACATGAGTTATATATAAATAAATAATGACAGCTTTATAAAACGAGCGAGGTCGAGTATCTGCTTGACTTACAGAGGCTTAGCGGACCAGTGTTCCTTTTCTTGGACTTCTGTGCTTTTTTCATGATGAAGCTTGGCGCGCCGTAGTAGTGTTGTGTTCCATTGCCGCCTAAAAAGCGAGATCGAAGCAGCAGCAACAGCAAGGTAAGATCTTTTTATGGTTTTGCTTCTTTTTGTTGTGTGTATATTATATATATATATGTATACACTTTGCTTGTTTTGTACATACTATATGTATTACAATATATATATATGTGTGTATATGTTATATCTGGGCTTTTGTTATGTATGTATGTATTTTGCTTATACTGTCGTATTATATGTATAGCATATTTACGTGTGTGTGTGTATATATGTGGGCTTTTGTTATATATGTGTACATTTTGCTTGTCCTGTACATACTATGGGTGTGTTTGTTATGGTTTTGGATTTTGGGTTTGAGTTTGAATAGTAAAATAAATTGCATTGAATTATTGTACGACGAGATATATGATATTTTGGATATAAAATTGATTATTACTATAATATAAAAAATAAAAAATAGGTATGTAATTTAATAATTTTTAAGAAAAATATGATAATAAATCTTGGGCAGAATTCCCTTGGCAAACACACCCTATGTATTATAATATGTACTCCCTCTCTTTGAATCGAAAGAGGCTTTTCGGAGCTTTGATATTTTTGTTTTTTTGATTTTATATATAAAGTTATTTTACGTGTAATAATATGTTTGATATTTTTATATTAGTATATGATTATTTTTTAAAAAAACAAAAAAATGGTATTTTTGAATAGGACAAACTAAAATGGTAAAAGATATATTTAAGTTGCGACAGAGCGAGTAATATATACATAATATAGGTGGTTATATACTTGATGTGAAAATTGAAATAGAGGCTGGGTTTGTTTGGTTATGATTTGTGTGAGTTTGTGATTTGGTTTTGATTTAATTAGTATTTTAATATAATATTTCGTCTAACTAGAAAATATATATATTTTTACTTTGGAATGTTTAATTACAAAATAATCATTTTATTAAACTTATTTTTTTCTATAAATACTCTTATTTTATATTACATTATTACTTTTATACAAAAAAAAAATAAAATAAGGGCAAAAATATTATTACATTACACTATTTTTACCTATTCACTATAATTAAGTAAAGCGTATACTTCTTATTTTGACGGAGGGAGTAATATTTTGTAATAACAATACTCCCTCCGTCTCCCTCTAAGGGTCACATTTAGTCATTGTACTTAACATTAAAAATATTTTTATATTCGTATAATTTTTTGTACAAATATCTTTTTATTAGCATTATAAGACACTAATAAAACTATTTTATAATAATTAATATCCAAATATCACGCAAAAAGTAAATAAGACCTTTAAAGTCGGACGGTAGTATATTTTTATTCAATGTTAAAATAGTGTTAACTTTGTTAGGGATAAAAACTAGCTGAACCTAGGGTGGTTATGCCCATTTTAGTTTCTATGAATAGTGGGATTTTTATTTTCTTTTAGTTATTGAGGATCATAACTTTGTTCTTGCCATAATTGTTTGTATTGTTTTAAATATTTTATGAAAAAAAAGTGCATTTTTATTAAATCAAATTTCAAGTACAAATTAAACAAAATACGAAGTGTGTTCTTTTAATAAAAATAATTCATACATATTTTTCTAAAAAATTTAATATATTACACATTTATTAAATTTATATTTCCTATATATTCTTATATACCTTACATAATATATATATATATATATATCTTCAGATCATTTGGCAAAACAAGCACGAATCTAAGTATGAGCTATTTCTTCAATAAAAGTTAATTAAGTAGGAGGGTATTCTTAAAAGTCATTTTCCTGTGACCTTATTTACAACCCAAAAAATAGAAAAAGAAAACCATACACAATACCAATAACCAAAAAACACTTAGAGGGTGGTTTTCTTGATACATATAAACACACACATATATATATATATGTATATATATAGAGAGAGAATATATATATATATCTATATAGAGAGAGAGAGAGGCTTCTCATTAAAAGGGTATAATCCTTCAGTCTTGTTCTAGTCATCTTCTTCTTCATCATCTTCATCTTGTTGTGGGTATGTATGTAATGTTTGTAATAAGGATGGACAGAAAGATCCAAAGAATATTTCTTATCAACAATTTGACAACAAATATTTCACAACCTCATTCATCCATTCATTCATTCAATCAATACATACATACTCGCAGCGGCGGCAGCAGCAGCAACGGCTATTTTTATTAATATTAATATTAATAATATTATTGTAGCCGACATCCTTGCTCTTCCGCCTTTAAATATAGAAGCGCCCTTCGAATCCTCTGCCACACAACAACAACTGTCTTATAACATTCAAACACACAAGAACAACGAAAACGATTGATCATCCTTTCTCTACCGTTATCTGTCGTGACATCTATAACACAGCTAAAAAAAGAAAAGGCAAAAAAACTTATTTATACTTGAAAGAAAAAAGAAAAAAAAAAGAAAAACTGATTTTTCTCTAAAAAAATCATACAATATTCAAAACTTATTTTTCATTTCGACACATTTCTCATTTAAAATATATCATATTTAAAATTCATTTTTCATTAAAAAAAATTAAATTCAAAACGCTCCAAAATACAAAAGAGAGGCACCCTTAGCATTATCACAAGAATTCACTTCACCATAATATATGTGTGCGAAAATGCTAAATCGTCCTTACATGTATCTATAACTCAAATTTCATTGCATTATTCAATACTTACCTCTTTTGTGTCTCTCATTCGAAGGAGATCTAATCTCTCCGATGGCCTGCGATTAGTTAACGTCGCAAGCTGCATTCATAACATATATATATATCATCATCGTCATCATCAAAAAAACCAAATGTCCAAACCATGAATCACAATATATATATAATATATATATATATGAGTTAAGACATGCTACCCAAAAGCTAAAGCGCTCAGGATCCCGTATGGATGGCATTAAGCCTTCGGCTTTGAACAGCTCGGCAAGCCTTATTCTATCTGAAAGTGAAAACTCATTCCCATAAACGGCCAAATTTTGGAAGAATCAAACACGGGCATTCGAAGAAAATGTTTATGGGCAACTATTTACCTCCCTGTGCCGCTTCTTGTGCATCTTTTATCCATTTTTTAGCAAAGGTTGCTGCCTTCTCGACCATCTCTAGTAACTAAAAGAGTTGAAAATCAATCACTACATTTTGTTTAAACACGAGAGCCAGCATCTAGACTCGTTTGTTTGTGTTTTCAAATCAAAATTTACTATTCAATAATTTTTTTTATATTACATTAAAAATCAATTTCGGATTTAAAATATCACATCCACAACTAAATAACTATTTCAACTCAAGAATTTTACTATTCAAAGCTCAAAGCCCAAATCTCAAACCTACAAACAAAAAGAACACACCCCTAGACGTGAAAAGAAAAGATTCAAATTTATAATAATTTAAATCACTTGGACACAATCGTAGATGCTCTCTCTCAAAAATTCTTAAATTACTGTGTAAATGTGAGACCCTGGAGAACTAAAACAAAAAAATAAAATGCACGCATCTGCATAAACAATCAACTGCTGCTGAACTAACATGTTGTTCAACAAATACCATACATTCAGCATCAATACTACGGTTCAACATATTTCTTACATCATTCGACAACAAATTTCTGAAATTACAATTATTGTCCTAAGTAACAACCACTCAAATGAAAAATTCAACTAATTAAGGTTTAAGATCTAATTCAGAAGGTGTGGATGATTTTAAATCGCAGCGCATGATGCAAAGCATTTTTAGACGATTATGGTGCATAACAGGAAAGGTCCCATTATTCATATGTAGAGTATAGGAATTTAATTGTAAACGAGTTTGAATCTAAGAATCACCAGACAAATGGAAAAGCCATTGTTACGCTGCATTTAAAGTTTAACTTACATTGGTTCTCTCATTTTCCTCTGGTGAAATGTTATCTTCTACCCATTCAACCTCAGCAACTCGGTACCTTCATATGGAACAAATTATACAGGCAACAAATCACTAAAGAAACTTAACAAACAGAGCGTGAGAATCGCATAATTATTTGGAATGCAAGCGCTGTACAGTGACAGGGGATTTACCCATCTTGATCCCAATTTTGTAGGATGTGACATCGCCTGCGACTTTCAACCTGCATCCAGCAGTTGTTCAGACTGAAGAGCACGACAAAGCAACTGAAATGTCGACTAGAGCACGGAGATAACACTTCAAATCACTATATCAGTTTTCAGAATGCATGTACAAATTCGAAAGGGATTCTTTTTTCCTTGGCACTCTTACCATCAAGTTCTTGTGGAAATGACAGCATGAAAAAAACTCTAATTGCTCGATTTGACATAATTTAAGAAGAAAATTGTTCCGTACATGCATCCAGCAGCAGCAACTAGTTTCACATTGCGTGACTTATTTAATCTAAGATTAAAAAGAATGGAGTAGAACAAAATTTAATCTCATGCATGACAACTAAATAAGGTTCCCATGTACGACTCTAATTATCATTTTAGGATTCTAAATGGATCCTATATAGAAATTGCCGTGCAACTAATGTGTTTTTGCAGAGATAGTCCTCCATCGCCGGAATTGATACGTCATTGCTGATGGGGCTCGCCGGTGTTGATTTGGCGTTTGCATGTCTAATCTGTCAGCGCCACCTGAGTGACGGGTAGATTTTTTAATTTCTTAATGTAAATTTTATTTCCTTAAAAATCTACTTGTCGCTCATGTGGTGCTGGTGGACCAGACATATCAGCGCCAAATCAGCACCGGCGAATCACATCACCAACGATGTGTCAATTATGGTGATGAAGGACTATTTCTGCGAAAAAATTTAGTTGCGGAAGAATTTCTATACAAAGTCCATTTAGAAGAGTCCTAAAGTGATAATAGGGGTTAGGTGCAGTACCAAAAAAAAATACAATTTACCCTTGGAAAAAATTATGGCTTGATTGTTTGTATTTTTCAACCTTGCTTTCGCACTCTAATCATTCTACAATAAAACAATTTCTCCTCTAAAACATTATATCTAGAACCTATTTTTAATTCGAAATATTTCAAATCCAAAACATGAACACAGATATCAAAATATGATGTTCGATCATATTTAGTGCTATTCGTCATCCAACTAGGCAAACATATGTTCCATTCTTATTTCAACTTATGGATCCATTCAGAAATTTCCATCCATGTGCATCGTCGAGAAAGAAAAAGTAACTAAAAACGTGCAATCTGCTTCTACTTTTACCTCCAAAAAGAAACGTCCATCCAGAAGTGGCTCACAACTGCATTAAGAAAATGTAATCACATCTATGGTCCTGAAGCGCCAATAATAGTAGTCTATGAAATCGTAACTTTTTCTCCAAAAGAAAATGCAACATAGTATTGAGTACAATTAGTATTGAACACCTACTCTATAATCTCCACCTCACATGCATAATCAGCTATTGAACCGGTAGATGAGTCGATTACAGCCTAGAACAGAGAAACGACGGCCAGGAAAGTGAGTGAATATGGGGCAATAACATTTCCATACATATATATACATAATCAAAGAAATTAACACAATGTACCATCCCCATGCGACGGTTTCCTTCCATTATCCTCCTCACCTGTTTCGAAAAATTAAGATATAACTTCAAATGATTCAGAGACAATACATGAGCACAAATTTAACAAGTTCAGCTAGTGTTTGGGAATTATGATGAATGGTAAAAATAAGGACCTTTTTTGGCAATCTAACTTATATTCGTAAACAAAAATCACTTTCCCCGTGATACGAGTCATTATGACAGACTTAAAATTATTATAATAAAGTTAAGCAGTTGATTTAATCTCTTTGAAAAATGTTTTAAATGTGTAACTCCCATTTCTTAATTGAATTAATTAATTGATCGGCATGCCTAGAGCTGTTAAACGAACCAAGCCTTCGTGAACTCGGCTCGGTTAAAGCTCGTTCGTGAATGTTAACGAGTCGAGCCGAACAACATAAACAGACTCGTTTGGTTAACGAACGAGCCCGAGCTTTGTTTGAGAACGTTCGTGTAAATAATATATTTATTATAAATATTATATATACGTATAAAATTATAATTTATAAATAAATAGAATATTAATTTAAAATATATAAATAAAATAATTTTAAATTTTTTTATAATTTATATATAAATTTTAAAAAATAAGACAAACGAGCTCGAACGAGCTTAATCAAAACTAAACGAGCCAAACACGAACACGAGCTCAAACAACAAAAATTTTTAACGAGCCGAGCTCGAACACTACGAACAAGCTTGAAAGCTTAACGAACGAACACGAGCCTTATTCGCGAGCGTTAACGAACACTTAAAAAATTTGACTCGACTAAACTCGGATCGTTAAAAGCTCTAGGCGTGCCACAAGTGACCTACGGAAAAAGAAAGATTCTATTGGTGACTATATAATGAAGAATGAAAATAAACTACTCACCATTAGTCTATACCGTGGTTCAAATATGTTTAGCTGAAATTTCTGGCAAGGTAAGATAACATCCATGACAAAAAGAGGTAACAAATCGACACCAAAACATGTCAAGCTGTCTTGCTCCGACTTCCTTTCAGCATATTCTTCGGGAAAGTTCTTTTGTATGATGTTGTTTAATGTGACACTGGAAAAGCCAAAAAACTAATCAGCTATATAAGCCACACTGGTAACCTTTTTTAATTATTAAAAATACGTTAGTCATAGTAGCATTTCATATGAGACAATTTATAAACGACCTCTGGATCACACAACTCCACTCTTAAAATGAAATTCCACAATCTGTATACTATCTCAGCTGTGTATCTATTGCTATTATCTTTGTAGAAATTTCAGTGTTTGGTTACATTTATCCAAACCCAGACCACTTCACTATTTTCCAAAGAAAAGGGTGGGCGGGAGAGGAAGATAAAGAAGAAAGAAAGACTCCCATAAACACAATAATTGTAAAAAAGCATTATGTTTCTCTCATAAATTTATGCAAAATTTAAATTTCAATCGACCACCTAATCTTGAATCTATTCAGACCTTAAATTTCAAAATACTACCCATAAGATCACACACAAGTTACATAAATACCTAAGATTTGATCTTTATTACCTATAAATTATCACACCATCCAATCAATGCCACCTATACAATATGAAATCATTAAATCATTATAAGATACTTAAATATAAGAAAACTAACAAATCAGAAGGCGCAGATACTATTCAGTATTATTTACACAAAAAAGTTTTTTTTTTTTTTTTTTTTTTTTCTTTTTGTTTAACTATCCACAACACGACTTGAATAAAACCAATTTTAGTAAGCATTGACACATAGCATGCAAGGGTTTATACTATAAATTGGAAGATAAGAAACAAGCGATCACCATTCTAAGCCATAAAACTGACCTGATTGCACATGTTCTGGGACTAACAAACAGAATTGTTCGACACAATGGGCATCGATTACCTGGCATGTTTATGTGATATAAGCATCAAGGTGAACACTACCTTTGCATAAAGTTGAACAACGAAAGGGAAAAATGCACAAGAAAGAACACCTCTGTCCATGGTCTGAAACAGGCATGAGCGGCAGAATGAATGGCCACAAGGAGTTGTGATTGGTTCATACAGTAACTTCAAACAAAGTGTGCAATCAAAATCATCAGTTCGCTGTGGTTTTACATGACTTCTTCTCGTAATCATAGTGGCTATTGACTTCTCTAAATTGAGGAGAGGCTTGCTGCGAAAGGGTTTACCAAATATCAAAATTTTCCAAAGCATTAATTGTTAAAACAATACAGAATCCTTTGAACAATATTATCATCAATCTATATATTACCTTTGAGGATCAATTTGCAGCCCTGAATAAATAATGTCATGAGCCAGATCAAACTTTTCCAACTGTCCAATAATATAAGATTGTATGTCATTGGTGAGAGCTTTAACCAGACAACACATCGCAAGGAATAAACAGTATGAAGCCAAGTACAAACAGATAAACTAACTAGAGTCAATGAAACGAATATTACGCAGACACTTTCAACACATATAACCATGATCATGCACCGCTAAGACTATAACATAATTCAGTCCATCAACCATAATTAGTCACTATTTAAGCCAGAAAGTTCGATATTAGCATGGCTCATATACTATAAAAACAAAGTGAACCTAGAAGACCTCATACCAGTATAAGTGCGTTTGCCTTGAGAATGTAGGATGCTATTGAATTACTTTGTAGACTCATGACCTTCTCCGCATCCTTCAGTGCAAGCTAAAACAATGATCAAGCATTAGATTACTGGGGCTACTAAAAAACTATGTGTGCCTGAAACAAACTTGAAGGAAGTCAGAAGCATGGGAATATACCCCAGCATGGGTTGTTGGATCTAGCCCACTCAATGGTCGGTGCTCTGAAGCAGAAGCTGGCCTATGTTTAAGGAATTGGCTAATCCTGGAGGGCATTGGCATTAATAGAAATATGCATCCTCATGAGTGATAAAGAAACCTAAAGAACTGACAATTGTGAATAAAATACTCAATTACATGTTAAAAAAATAAAATGGCGTGCTTAGGCACTGCTTACCGAAGATATGCTGCACATCGGCTACTCAAAATAATAGGATCATTCGGTTTGATGTTGTTAGATCGGGAATAAAACTCGATGGCCTAAGAAAACATAAAATTTAGTGAGCTGACAATCATATGCAATGCGATAACATCTTTATCCAATCAATAGGATACAATTCGAGGGTTTCAACACTTTTAGCCTCGGAAACTGAATTAACATCACCACAGTATTTGTATTATATAGCAATACATTTGAGATGCCAATGCAATCCACAATAAATAGCAAGTTATGTGTATGATACACAAAAATAGATAAATAATCTACCCTTTTCCACAATTTATTATGCTCAGATATATATCATTTGATGATCAGGAAAATTTAATAATAGAATGAAACTCAATGCTAAGTAAATACATGATTGTATCAGGTAAAAAGCCAGCGGTGCTGATTGACATATTAAAGAAAATGTAACCCATGGCCGTACATGAATAGAAATGTGAAAGCCAAAGTTTACGTAAAAAAAACTAATAACATTTAAAAGTGTGTTTATCTCTAAATGAAGATAAAGGAATAGAAGAACCAAAAATTCAACAAACATAATCACACTGTCTATCAAAGAAGTGTCCAGCATCTCAGGCTACAAAAAGTCACTGCTTTATATGTAGTTCACCCGCCGTTTAATTACTCTTAATCTTTAGAAATAGGAACTCCAACAAGCTTCGATCAAAATGATACTCTTTCAGAAAAACATCAAATTCTGATTTCATAGAAAAGGTAGAAGTGAACATGGAGAAAGGAGAGAAATCCTGACCCATGATAACGTAATACACAGCCATCAAACTCCAACATAACCTAAGCCTTCAACCCATGCAACATTCAATTTATCTGAAATCTGAATAAACATTAAGAACACTCACCTCATTCGTAAGGACCGTACAAAACTTAAGCATTACAAAAGCAATCACATATGTATTCAAGAAGCACCGGGAATTGAGAAACAGCATTCTCAATCTTTTAGGCATTACTCATTCATATTCCACAAACATCACGACCATTGTTAGGTAGACTAGAATAAATTGCAGAATAAACCACCTGCTAAACTCCCCCAACCTCCACCCCCACCCCCCAAAAAAAGAAGATGTGCCTCTTGGTCTCATACCTCTGTTAGGCCTTTGTCCAAATCGAAATCTCCTCATATAACTTCCTATTTAAAGTCTAGAAAAAATAAAACAAATGCAGCCTGATCTAGACTGCCAAGAATGAAGCATCAGTCTAAGTGTATCCCAAGAAACCTATGGGGTGTGTTTGTTACTTTCTCCGCGCCTTATTTTTGCATTATGAAACCTATAGTAAAATAAACCCTCTCCTAAAAAACATCAAATCCAAAGCTTACTTTCCCTTCAAAACCTATTTACCTTCCATTCAAAATACCAAATCCAAAACCTATGGTCTATTTTCAAGAATTTTAAACCCAAAGCATCCGAAAACACAACCAAATACACCCCATGATCTCTCCAAAGTCTCGTATCAATCAATTAATGCATGGATACAACTTCACATCCTCATTCTCGACCAAATTCTACCACTTCCCTCTAAAACCACACTCATAAGAACCCAGCATCAATCAAGATGACCCCATCCACAACATCAATCCCTCTGAACGTCGTCAAACCTAAGCTAGTACACTCATAATTCAATTGCATAGATCAAAACCACCAAAAAAAATATAATACACACTTTTCACAAACAGTTATTCAACACCACCAACTAGTAATAATATAGCATAAAACAACGACAATCGACAACAAAACTGAAAATATATACATGCATATATATATAATTATATATAACAGAATAACACAAAACTAGGGCGGCAGAGAAAATCATCAAGCAAACTGACCTGGTCTATTCGGTTTTCACGAAATGCAGTGTTCCCCATGTGCATTAGATCATAGAGATGGCTATACCTCTCCAAAGACATCGACGATCCTTCTTCATCGCTCTGCATCATCAACAACCATCAAAATCAAACACGCACTCAATGATTCAATCCACAAACAGAGAAGAAGAAACGAAAGCAATTTCACAATCCACACCCATGGAAAGTCGCAGACATCTTCAATCCCTTCCAACTTCCAATCGACGGCAGAAGAACTCGACATTTTCGATAATCAAATCAAATCAATCAATCAATCAATATGAACTCGAAACAACAACAATTACAAAATCACGAATCCATCCCTTCGATTGGGAATTAAATACGAACAACACCAAAAGATTAATACACTTCCAAAATAGGCTAATGTGGCGGTGGCGTCGTGCGTGTTCCTCCCTGTATCCTTCGTTGTACGCTTGGCCACTATTCGTTTACGTGGTTCTCTCTCCTTCCCTCCCTCCTGACTTTTCAACCCCACTACTACGATGCTCCCCCTACTCCTTTTTCTCTCTCTAAAACCTCCCCCACAACGTAGACCGTACTAATCCATCGTCTTCCGCGCGTGTAATTTCGGATTTGGAGAATCCATGGCACTGTAATTTTTCGGATTTAGAGCTTTCGTTCTCAACAAAGAAAACGACAATCGAACTGCACGATTTCTTCCAATTTTCTTTCCCCAATTTTTTTACGGCGACAGAAAGAACGAGTTTATATCGGTGCTGGACCTGTGGTCCAGGACTGGGGGTGGGGGTAGGGGTGGGTGAGACGCGGTGCAGTGGTCCGAGGGGTGGATAATAATAAGACGGTTGGAATGAAGACGAGCTTGTACGACAGGTGGGTTGTGATTATTGGCTGAATTAATTCTGACAGGACCTATATCACGTGCGACCCACGTGCTTGAGGACTTGAGATGGGAATATAAATTAATTAAATATTGGTCGTGATTGATGTACAATACTTTTTATATTAATTTATTAGTATTTTTTATTTTTATAATTTACAGTATTTTGGAGTGTGTTTTTTTTTTTTCTAATATATATTTTTTTAAAAAATTAATATATTACATAAATTTATTATACACTTAGTTAAAAATATATATATTTCTATTTTGACGATTCAAAATTACAAAGTAATTAACTATTTCACAAATATCTAAGGTTCTATTTTACCATCACATGTTATTTTTATACAAAAAAAAAAAAAAGGACAAAATACTATTACTCTCTCTATCCCACTTATCAAGGTCACATTTTTCATTTCTGTTGTCTCACATGTCAGTTTCATTTTTTTGAAAAAATGACATTTTAATCTTATGTTAAATTTTATAATTTATAATTTTAAAAAAATTATTAAATTAATTAGTTATTTTAATGTTAATTTATAATTAGCTATATTATATTGTATTTAATTTTATTAATATATTATTAATTATTTACTAATCCTATCCCTCTTAAATTTTCGTGTTTACAACAACTTTGACATCATTACTGAGACAGAATGAGTATTTCTTGAGGAGATGTTACGGTGTTGTTTTGGAAAAATCAGTAATGTGCTGATTTTCAAAATTAGCACCTATAAAATACAAAAACAGCACAAAGTCTTTATTAAAAACAACACGTGTTGTTTGTAATAATGACATGTACCGTTTATTTATAATTACACGTGTGATGTACAGGTGTATATCATGTGATGCATGTGTTGTATCATATTATATCATGTGTTGTTACTAACATTATTGTGTGATATGATTGTATTATATTAATATAAATAATGCATTGTCACTAACATTATCTGTGTTTTATTTGCTAGCTATCCATGTGTTGTTGCCGTCATTTTTTAAATTCTGCATCAAAATTAAATATTTACTTTATAGCTAGACGGCATGAGTATTAATATAAATGATATAATTATTTTAGGAAGTAACTTTTAGCGGAATTTTAATGCTAGTAAAAATTATTTTGTTTTGGCCGAGTAAAATAATATTTTTTTTCATATAAATTGTTCAATTTTTTAAATTTAGTTCATTCATATAATTTGTATTTTTTTTACAAATATAATTATACATTTTAATTTTATTTTAAATTTTATAATTTATAATTTTTAAAATTCTAATTAAACTATTCAGTTAAATTAATTATAATTTATAATTATTTTTATTAATACATTTCTCAATTATTTATTAATAATACTTTTATCTAAATTCTCTTAAGTACAATAATATGGATAATTTACCGGATAATATAAAAGTATTGATGAATTTGCCAATAGTTGTAATATATTGTAATAAATTACAAATAATTATTATACTTCCTACGTTCCGCAAAAAGGGTGGCATTTGCTTTTTGTACTTAGATTTTTGAATATTAGTATTATATTGGATTGTAGTAAAAAGGACAAAAATATAAAAGTAATGACACCCTTCCAACGGGACGGAAGGAGTATTAATTGTTTATTTTTCAAAAGTAAAACTTCCAATAAATGGAGCCCTGATAGGGTGTGTTCGTTTGCAGGATTTTGTCGAAATTCTCCTATTCATTCAAAAAATTTTCCCCAAAACATCAAATCAAACATTTATTTTTTATATTTTATATTATACTAAAAATCAATTTTACATTCAAAATATCACATCAACACCTATTTATATCACATCATATAATTATTCAAATTTAAAATTTTTACTATTCAAATCCCAATCCAAATCCAAATCCCAAACAAACACACCCTAAGTTCTTTTTACTTAAGGCACTGTTTGACGGTGATTAATAAAGAGAAATAATTCGATGAAATCAAGTGGGTGCCGTCAATACTTAAGATGGCGCAACCAAACAAGGCATAAAGACAAATCAAATATTTTTTTGCCTTAAAAAGAAAAATTTTGGACCACTCATTCGACAGTTACAACACTCCAAACTAGCGATTGATTGCTTGCTTGTTTGTATTATTCTTTTTGGCTTCTTTTTAAACAGAAGTTTTGGGATACTTTTGAATTTTTAAATTTTGAAATAATTAAAACTAAAAAAAAAAAAAAAAAAAAACTAACATTTGATATAATTTGATAGATTATAAAAATATATATATATAATTAATGTGATATTTATTTAAAAATAAATAATGCTATATAAGTCAAAATTGATTATATATACAAAATGCATATATATATATATATATACAGATATACCGGAGAAAATCGATTTTTATTTTTTGAAATAAGCATTCTTGTCTATCATGTTAAAGTTAGTTATATTAATTTATTTTATTGAATTATATAATCGGTATGTAAGAAAATAATTCTTAAATCAAATATTAGCGGAAGCGAATAACAATATTTAACAAACCTTTCGCAATTACTAAAATTTAAATTTGTTTTTGAGATTTCTTCTTAAACAGACCATTAGAAAGACGTTGTCAAACTTTGGAACCCTAAAAAGATATTGCCAGATCCTGCAAGACGTTGTCAAACGATTCTCAAATAGCGATGGTGTATTCTAATTTTAACCGGTACGTGAGAGTATTTATAATAATAAAAAAAATCGTCAATCACGATTTTTATGCCACTTCTCAATATATTTTGAATGTGATAAGACTTAATGGAGAAAAGTGAACTACAATTTAATGTCAGTTTAATTATATAAGATAATTCAAAATAATCAAAATTCAAATATAATTAATTAATTAATTAAACTATCACAGTATAATTATATGTACTAACATTTACTCTACACTATCATTATAGGCGTTTATTTTTTAAATCACTGTTCAATCTCTTCCATATATATACAATTATTTTAAATATATACTCTTGTCAGGAGTCAACTTGTAATCGTGAGATCATGGGTTCAAATCCGACGCCTCTGGATCTATCTGTCACACATGGTTAGCTTAGTATAACTTATTTTGTCAGGCCTAATTTGTAGTCGAAGGTTTACCCAGTGCACCGGGGGCAGGTTCCCACATTATAAAAAAAAAATAAAATAAAAATACTTACAAAAGTATTCATTTTTTTTTTTAATATTTTGCAATGATAATAATACTAAAATCATCTTACACACTTTCACTGATTAATAAAATATTATTATTTTTTAATATATCATTAAAATAAAACAATAGTATTTAAATCGAATAGATGCAATATTTTATATTTGAACAATAAAAAACAACAAATATTAAAACCTCATAAATTGACTGAAAGGATGTTTGCATAACATATATTTATCCTAAAAAAATGTCTTTGTTTACAATTTGCGTCAATATTTTTTGTTTGGTTTTTATTTGAATCTGAGGTTTTTTATTTGAATTTTGTTACGAAAAGTAATAATATTAGTTTGTTTCTTTTCTAAACAAAATTTCAACATATTTTTCAAAAAAACCAATATACTATACACTTATTATTTTTATATTACCTACATAATTCTTTATACCTCACGTCAAACACAAAAAATTAAAAATAAAATTTAAACTGAACACTAACATACTTGGAATAATAATACTCTATCCGTCAAGATAATTAAGTCATATTTATTTTATAGTTGTCCATTAAACTTATGCATAATTCTTTTGTCGTAAACAATTTTCTCCACCCACAATTTCATACATATACTTTAACATATAATAATCAATTTGCTACTATTTTTTTCTATTTATCTCGTTACTATATTATTTATACTTTAATAAATTTTCTATAATACTTTCGCTTTACCGTTTTTTACTTACCCTAACATTTAAATTAAAATACTACTACCTCCGTCCGATTATAAGGGTCTCATTTATTTTTTGTGTATTCATCTTTAAATATTAGTTATTATATCAAAAACATAGTACAAATTAAGTAGAAGGACATTTGTACAAAAATAAAAAATAAAAAATTATACAAATAAAAAAATATTTTTAATGTTAAGTACAATGACGCAAAACGTAAATGTGACCCTTAGAGGCGAACGAAAGAAATATAACTTTTTAATCTTTCATGCAAGGACATTGTGTCATAATTAGTCCAAATAAAGGGAATACAATTTACTTGTTATATTTATATTTACCTGATTCAACATACTATTTATATTTTCGGAACATAAATCTACCTTAAAAACACACCGTAAACGAATACATGCCATTAGTTGTTACACTATGCATAAAATAACGACAACAAATTACTAACCTCGAATGGTCATTCGAAGTAAGCCACCCGTAACATTCTACGTTGATCGGCTCATGTCAGGTCACCGTGTTACTCTTGAGGCCATTTGTGTCGATCCTCACCCCAGGTTTAGGGTACTTTGCGAATAAACAAAATGCCAAAACAATTGCTACTTTAAATAACCATACAAAGAATTTAGAAGTTTGTATTTGCCTTTACAATTGAGATGCGCGGTGTTCGGACAATGGCGAAGATCTAAACACCTGTGATGATGAGCTCATTTTTATAAATATCCAAAATGATCGATCATTCCTTTGATCCAAGAAGAATGAACGAAAATAAACAACAAAGAATTAAATGCCAAAAGATACCAATAAAAACATCAGCAAGATTGATCGTAATTTCTTCATTCTAGTATTTTGAGTGTTACATTTAGTCCTTCCCTAAACATGAAAGTTATCTTCCCAAAGGAAAGAAATATTCACACTTATTATCAACATAAACGATTTTATTAGGTTAGCTTCCGCGAACCATAACAAAGGTTAGAAATCCAAATATCCGAGGGAGAAGCAACATACTCATCGTGCGATCTTTATTACGAGAATCAAACAAAGATTATGAGAGCAACTAAATGGAGCAAATTTCTACTTTTTAGTTTTTTTCGATGGAGTTTTCTGTAAATGAGCTGAGTGAGCTCGAGTATATGTTGTTCGAACTCGGCTTGAATATATTATCATACAAGCTCGTTTAAGATTCGAACTAAATAGTAGGTCGAGATCGGCTCGTTAAGTTCAAATTCAAGTTCGAGCTCGACTCATAAGGTTCGAGCTCGAGCTTAAGTTAAAGTTATAATTTTATAGGTACTATATATTTATATCTTTAATATATTTATTAAATGTATTTAGTTTTACTTATAAGTCATTATTTATTATAATAAAATATTAAAATTTTATTAATAAATACAAACTTTTATTTCAAAATTTATATATATAACTCCTTCCATCCCTGAGCTTCTCATTTATCTGTTGTGTTTATTGTACTTAACATTAAAAATATTTTTATATTTGTATAATTTTTTACACAAATGTCAATATATTATAATAGTATTATAACACCCTAATAGAAGTATTTTTGTCATTTTTCGTTTATTTGTACTATATTTTCATATAATAATTAATATTCAAATATCAACATGCTTATTCGAGCTACTCGCAAGCCGAGCTCGAACTTAGCTTGTTTATCTCTATAAACGAATCGAGTCAAGCTGTTAACAAGCCGAGTCAAGCTTGGCTCGCGATTATTTTGTTCATTTAACAACTCTACGTCTCACTACGATGCTAAAGCATAACTATATCCAACATAAATCGATTCAACTCTAAATTACCATCAACATTAAGTTTAAATAACAAAAAATTACCCGTGTAGCGTCATCGCTCCGATGCAATGCCGTAGTAGCTAGCTAGCTAGCTCATCGATCCACCCGGCCGTGCTCCATAACATGTCGAATATCAAACAAATCGACATCAACCAAAGGCGCAACACTTTCGTTTCTAATCCTCTTAACACTCGGGCTCGCCAAACCCCGGTGTTGAAACCCATACAATTTCAAAACTTGATTATCCGCAAAGTTAAAAGCTCTCTCCATGCTCCTCAAACACCTCTCGACCGGATAATCCACGTTGCCCCCACAAGGCTTGCACCCGACAAAATGTGTCACAAACGGCCACCTCTCGTCGCCCAAACCCGATCGCCAATCCTCCATCATCTCCTCGTACCGATCAACCAAACCCTCCCAAAACCCGTGCAAATTATACGAATTCTCTACATAAACCTTCCCCATCCACTTATCCTTCGCCATAATCAACAAATATATCAACGCAGATTGATCATCCGCTTCGAATTCCGGCCTGCCCTTCAAATTCGCCGTCAAGATCTTCCCTGCCTCGTCCCTGATTGAACCTTTTGGCCCCATCGTCGCCCAAGCATCGAGCAAATCCAATGTCCATTGGCAATTACGAACCAAGAAACTACCTGTGTTCAGAGATATCCATGACTTTTCAATGAATAACAGATCAGGGTAGCCATGGACGACTAAGTTGGATTCGTTGTACTTCCAGAGAGGAAGCTTGAACGCCATGTCTGTGAAGTATGCATCGCTATTCATCCACCAGATCCATTCGAATTCGGGATGGGATAACATCAAGCGACGTATCAATGGCAGCTTGCCCCAATTCCCTGCCATTGCCCTGTCTAGATTAGCCATGTTGTACACAATCTCTACGCCATGGATTCTACAGTAATCTACCTTGTTCTTCAGTCCTTTTAGCAGGTAATGATCGCCAATTGCGTTTTCACATGGATTTGGGGGCGAACCAGTCACGAGCAAAATTCTAGGGTTTCCGGTGTTAATGTAATTTGGGAATTGGGGGTTTTTTTGTAGCCATACGTTCCGGTCTTCGTCCCAGGAGATGGTTGTAGGTCCGAGGCTGAAGGTTGAATTGACGTCGGGAAACTGTTCGTCGCCGTCGCCGTCGTTGTCGGAGCGGATCTCCGCCAGAATCCGATTCGTTTCTTCAATTATCAGGCGGTTGTCGCCGTCGGATTCGTTGGACGAGAGGCGACCAAGGCCAATCGTGCCGCGGAGGACGAGGATTGTGATGAAACCGCAGAGAATTGTGATCTTCAGGTTGTTGAATGTTTTGTGGATCTGCTGCCGGCCCCGGGGGAGCAGCCTGGCGGCTCCGCCGCGTGGTTCGCCGTTCTCCGACGGGAGTGAGGCGGAGGTCCGCTTCTGAGCTGAAAATGGAGTCGGCAAACTCATTCTACTGTGTTGAAACACGTAATTGACCTTGGAGAAGTAGGCAATACTCCTCAGTAGGGGAATTCGAGCATGTGAGTGGTTCCTCCGCCGGAAACCACCATTAACGGCGGCCGGAGAAATGAAAGTTGAGTGCGGAGAAGGGGAAGAAGATGACGGAGTGGAACCACACGTCTGGTTGTTAATTTTAAAAGAAATATATATATAATAATGTTATTTTAAATTAAAAATGTCAGTTGGCGCTTCTTTTGTCTGCGTATGGTCATATGATATGTCATACTAATATCTTCAACCATTATATATATATATATATAATATTTAAAAATTACTATTTGAAATTTTGAGGTGTGTATTTTAATTTAATTTTGAATTTAGTTTAAAAAGTTATTTAAATATTCTTTTATGAAACAAATGTTTTTATTAGAATTTGTATTTCAAACAAAATTAAGGCTTGTTTATTTGTGAGATGTACGTATTCTCCCGGGGGACGATTAGAAGGTGAGTATTAAAATATTACTTGAATTAAAATTTAAATAAAAAGTTACAAATCATATAAAATCTAAAATACTAGTAACTTTTACAAAAATATTTATTTCTTTTATACTTGCGGGAACTATATAACTTTTTAGAACCATGGCGTTTTTCTCAGCTCGAATAACAGCTCTATCCATATTGTCGAAACAAATAAATTTGAATTTATGTAAGAAACATTCAAATGTGAAGTTACTACAACTACTGCTGTTATCTATACACAGAAAAGACAATTTCAACACAAGTTTGTTGTCCTAAAACCATAAGACAAGAGTTAGTAGTAACTAGTTCATCAACATCATTTCATTCTATTTCTTCTTTCTATCGCAACCTAGCTCGAATCGACTACGAGTTTTTTAGTCACGAGCCGGATACCTGCGTTTTGCTGATAATCGTAAGCATCCAACGAGAAATACGCATCCAGAGAGTCGCCTGGAGAGAACAGAGACTCTAGCTCGACTATGTCAAATGTGCTGAAAACAACCCTCGAATTATCCTTCTGGTAAATTTCTGTCCCCAATCGGGTAATTTCTCCATCTGCTGCTGTTGGTAAGCTGTAAATTTACAGGGAGAAAAAAAAAAATCATAAAATTATTGCCTGTTTATTGTAAATTGGAGCGCGAAAATGTTTGGGACGAAAGCGAGCATAGATATCAAAATACTAACAATGAGAATAACCTGTGATATATTTTGAAAATATTTTGAATTTTTGAAAATAGTAAAAAATTACGTAAAAAGTAAAGCTCTCTGCGTATGTTTACAAATAACTCTTGGCAGCTATTCATCTATAAGCATTTTTAGAAAATAACATCAAATGCTTCATTTTCATTTAAAATATTACATCAGAAACTTATTTTCAATACAAAACATCACATCCAAACATATTTTGAAACGATTATTTACATCACATCAAAGATTTATTTTTTTTACGTAGCCAAAATTATCCAAAACTCCAAAACACTTCTAAAACATCTAACCACAGCCTATAGTAAGTACCTAATGTGATGTAAATAGACATTGGATGTGATGTTTAAAAATAAAATTTTGATGTAATATATATATTTTTTGAAAAAACAGATATTAGATGCGATATATTTTAGAAATATATATATAAATATATCGAATAGTGCCAACATAAATATGAAAACATACGGTAAAAAGCCGAGAGGAACTTACTGCAATCGAACAGTCGGAGTATTGTAGAAGCCCGGTTTTCTGGTTACCACAGGATGCCATTCAGAACTGCTACCCGATTCAACAGAGAGTTTCTGGGCAAGGCTGTCGATTAAATCCAAAATCTTGGCGAGGCTCGGGGGTGCATCGACCACAAAGTTCAGCCGTGGTCGTCCATCGCGGTTAAAAAACTTTCCGCTGACCCCAAACCGAATCTTCAGGTGCGTACACTGAAGCTGCAGCGGGAAATTCTGGTACAGTACCTGTATTTTCTTAGTCCCGCGGAAGAAGTCGACGAGCTTAACTGATACTAAAGATTCCGACACACTGTCGGGGTCCAAGAAGTCATGATAGCCGTACGATTCCCTGTTGCTGAGCGTTGTCGATGATTCTGTAGGCGTCGTTTCCGTTTTCTCTTCTTCCATACTGTCCTCGGAGAGAGATCCGCTCTCCAGTCCATCGGCAAGAGTTCCGATACCAGTGAACGGGTCCTGGTTCGCGTAATTGGATTCGTCGACAGGCGACGCTGGAGTCATAAGCGATAGTATTGGATGTGTTGGGGGAGATGATGGAGATTGTTCGATCTGAATGCTTGATTCGATCGGCGGTGCCGGCCTGACGGGGCCTTTTCCGTTAGCTCGACTTCTTGTGGTAGTGTTGGGAGAAACCCAACTGTTCTCTGTAAAAATCTCCGGGAGACTCGATTCCTGTCAGCACAGCCAAGAATCGACATTAGTAGCTGGATTGACGATTAGTGTAATAAGAAAGAAAGCGCCGAGTCATATTAGAGGAAGATTTCGGGGAAGTAGTTACACGCAATATATGATCAAAATCACAACATTCGCATTAGTATGTCGAGTTTAACAATTATTGTCTTATTCTCATTTTTACATTACATATTCCTCGAATTATAAGTACTATGATGAGGGAGTGTCGCATCACAGGCAGCATGAAATGCGGAAAATAGTGGCGAAATCATGTCGAATTGGTTCTAAATTACTTCAGAAAAGTTAAAAGAAGAGTTTTAATGCAAAAGCTGAAGGGGATAAAATTCGAATTTACCAAAAATAGAACAGTTGCGCAGTACTTGAGGACTTCGAGATTCATTCGGACATCGTCCAAGCTCCTGGGAAGTAACATAAAAATGTCGATCACATTGAGTTTCAAAAGGCCAATAGACAAACAAATGGGCATCATCACCTCGAATTATATACAGGTTATTTTTAGACACCTACGATTGTTATCGAACACTGGCACAAACATATTCTACAGTGGGCTGATATTCTCAAATCAACGGATTCTACCAATGAAATCCCTCGGAATCCCTCAAAAACGAAACCCATAAACTTAATTAAGAGAAGATACGAAATACGGAAAAAATGTAAAGTCTCATGCAACAGTATTTTAAATGTAGCTAATGGAAGTGGTACGCATAAGAAACCAACTCCATGAGTGACTGTTGATAAATTAGAAAATAAAGGGTTTGTTCACTTTCAAAAACACTACATACTATTTCTAATGAAAATAAACTATTTTCTCTCATAAAACATTTAAAAAACAACAAAACAAATATTTTAATAATATTCTCACAATCTAATAACTAGCAACAAAAACCTCAAAATTTTCTAAAGACTAGAAGAACACAACCAATGTATTGCCTAAAATGCTATGTCACACACTGACCTATGTGTTTGCCGACCAAGCCCAAAATACGTTGCAAGACTTGCCATCTGGAAAGAATCTCAACATCGTGATTATATGATATAATATATATATATATAACATGAATGCTCAATTTTCATTTACAATATTAGGCATATATAAAGTGGTTGATTATCTAAAGAATCCAAAACATTCTAATATATGGATGTAAATTGGAATTAAAGTTGGGAAAATGGATAAAATGTTATTGATTCTTATATCAAAAGGCTCAATCGAATTAAAAAAATGTGCAGATATGGATACCTTCATATCGCCAGCTCTCCTTCCAAACTTCTGTGTTAATATAGCCAGCGAATCAAGTGTCCCTCTAGGCTCAGGAGGGGATCTATTAATTTCAGCAAATGCCTCTTTTACCCGAGCACAATCGAATCGTAGAATATTATGGCCAGCCCATATTCTTCCTGTACACGGAGCATACTAAGCATGAATAGCGAATATGAGAGTCGTAACCCATAAACATGAAGTGTATACAAGCAAACAAAACTTATTAATACCAACACATGTTAGACTATGAAAAGTGATCTTTAAATCACACTGGAGAAGAATATTTCACATAAACATTACAAAGATGAAAAATCATATTGCAGCCTTCAAATTCCAAAGCCAAAGTACGAATTCTTCAATATTTTGAAAAATTATTGCACCTATACTCCGACTTCTTTCATGTTTGTCAGACCACATCGAATATTGTCTTCCCTAAGTAGTTGATAGTATGTTACTTAGATATAAATTTAAATTTCTTATTTCCGGTGGCTCTCATATATAAGCAACAAAACAAATCAGAAGCTAAAACACAAAAAATGTGCACCAAACTCTATGTACAACTCATCCTTCCACAACACAATAATGAATGACCAAATGCTTTGTGTTTACAGCACCCTCTTGTTCGCTAACGTAAAAGTTTCTTCCCACCCAAAAAAATCATTTTCGACACTTGAACTCTGCAAATCGTCACATCCAACATGTCATGAGCATGTTTGGTTGTTCGCACTATGCTCCCAACAATTTTCATTTCAAGCATTTCCCAAAACTTTTCAAGGTGGAATCCACTTATAATCTATTATTCCTGCCTCTATCATGAAAAAATAAAATATTTATTGTACTATATAGCATTCAAAGCTCAGTGTTCTTCAAAAAATATTACCCAAAAAAAATACAATATATATGTAACAATAAAAGTCAGAGAAAACAAACAAGACATCATTCTTTAGAATACTTTTACAATTCTCTATACTTCATGACAAAAACACTTAGAAATATAAACACTAAACTAACACACTCCTATTTAAGTTAATTATCAAAAATTATTTTTAATAATTTTTATTTCTATTATATACAATTTCTATAAAATAACATTCATATAATTTATTGAACTATAGTTTTCGTAAACACTTCAACACACATTTTAATTTGATTTAGTCAAATATATTACATTGTAACTCAAACATTAACCAATCAACATCTCATAAACAATGAAACCGAACTTCCAAGAACAATTTGAAATGACAAACAGGCCATATCATTTTTGGTCTAAAAATTCAAATCTCTAACATCCCAAAAAAATCAAGAAAATGCATGCTTAAATTAGTCTCTTTTCGAAACAAACTTAGGATTTCGACAATAGAATGCAATCATACAACCTTCACAATCTACAAAGAACTAACAAGCAGTTGAAGCTGAATAAAAGCCAACAAATTGTTTGCCAATCAACACAATCATCCAAAACCAATATCTGCAGAAACTGACTATGCTATGAACAAAAATCAAAATTACCATGGAGAAGATCATAGACGACATCAGCAACATCCTCAAAGGCTGGGGCGGCCACCACAGCTTCCCTTGTAATGCCATTGCAGCGAACGGAGAGCGACGTGATGCGCGAAAGGTCTGCCGGTTTCACCAACGTGGAGTAGCTCCGGAGCTCCACTAGCTTCCTAGGGCAGACTAAAATGGCTCCGAATTCCAGAATGGTGTGACCCTGCCCCGGCCGGTTCGGTACCGTCGTCTCCACGTCAAAAAACACTATCTCCGATCGATCGTCGCTCGTCACCGCCATTAAACTCCCCGGAGAAATCGAGAATCAATCCAACTTCGATTGCTCCTAAATATATGTGTATATATAGAAACAAGTGGGGAAAGGGTAACTTGCTGTGTAAGAATTAAGGTTTTATAGAGGCGAGGGGAGAAGGAATACGTGCAAATTAGGAACACGGCAGGCGGAAACGTGAGACGCCATTAAAACCAATTTTGTGGGAATAGGGGAAGCATATTCTTCACTTGATTCATCGGATATCCCAAAATTGGAGAAAATCAATGAGTTGGATGATGAAATTGACGTGGGAGAATCTTTGTTTGTGGAGATTAGTGGGTGAATTCCATAGCCGGAAGCGATTAACTAACTTTTCCCCCGATTGAAGAAACCCTAATCCCCAAATCGGCTTCAGGAGTGGAACACAGTGAAAGCCTTTCTGCAGCAAATAGGGTAAGAATTTCGAATTCATACTATCTGCTTTCTGATTTGTACGCCAGATTTCTACACCAAAAAAAAAAAAAAAAAAAAAAAAAAAAAAAGTTTAGCAAAATTATCTTTAATTTTTTTTATTTAAAATAGAACAAAAATTAATATTGTTGCCGTTCTCACAATGCTTCCATTTCTGTGTCATATAACAATTTGACATTTTTTTATTTTTATAAAATTTATTAATTCAAAATTTATTTATAAATATAAAATAATTTAATTAACAATATAGCATATAACATCATAAATATCTATATTATAATGAATTGTAGTGAAAAAAGACAAAAATACATAATACAATTACTAAATCAGAAATGGTAACCTTGAAAAATAACAATCTTCTAATGGGACGATGGAGAGAGTATTATTTCCTTGAATATAATCTATTTTGCACCAGTGATATAGACATGAAGAGCACCATCCAGGTTAAATAAATAATAAAAATTTAATAAAATATAATAAAAGAACAAACGAACATTTTCGCACACTCGGATATTCATTAAGCATAATGAAATTCAATAATAATATGTTCTAATGCACCAGCAATGATAGGATCGAAATAAAAAGAACAGACAAATTGTAAATCAAAACCAAAGAAATCCAATAAATAACAGATAATTCAAATCCATTTAATTTAGAACTAACTAACTATGAAATCCAAATCCTCTGGACTTCATATGAATGTCAAGATTTACATTCTTTTGTACACAAACAAGATAAGAGTGTTAAAATATATGTACCTGCTGGAACATGTATATATGTTTTCCAGGAGGATGGAACATAATAAAAATAAGATCCTGCTATAGATACTTCTTTCAATAACACTGTTCTAAGATCGACCTCATCTTGCCGACGCTCCTCGCCGTTCTGAGAAATTTAATCGATTCAGTAAACCGTATACTCACAACAAAATCACACGAATTGGTCTTCGCCTTCCATCTGCACCGTGAAAAGGGCGAAAATTTTAGTACAAGTCATTTCAAGAAATGTAAAGAATCCATTTAATAGGACAAATTTTTACGGTTCAACATTATATAGGAGTGCCGAGTGGACATGGTGTCAACTAAATTTAGCATTTCATATAATGTATTTTAGATGCACTGAACATAAACAAATACTACCGTCTGCCTACAAGAGTTATATTTACATTTTGCGTCATTGTACTTAATATTAAAAATATTTTTATATTTGTATAATTTTTTTATACAAATGTCATTATAGAAGAATTTTTGCTCTTTTACATTAATTTACGTTTTGATATTACCTATTTAAAAATCAACATGCAAAAAATAAATACTACTATAACTTCTGCAGACAGAATGATGGTATACTATATGGTATATTATGAAAAGAATATATTAAATATCTACTGACAATGGCTAGTGTTAGTATGTTGAATCAATATATTCAATGTAGTGCTAACAACACCTCAAATATAATTGACAACACTTTACAAGACGGTATATAAAATAGTTTACACAATACATACTATCAGTGATCTCAACACATAACACCCTAAGCTCAGATAACCATAGACTATACATACTAATAATATACGCAATATATACTATCAACATGGTGTTGAATTGCCCCAATTAGCACCATAACAGGTCCCAACAACAATATATTATAACTATAGAATTAGCCTTATTTGGGAGATTTTTCGAATTTTGGACCTATCTAGACAATTTGTATCCTTATATAAATATGTCCTATTTCTCATGAATAAAACTGAGAATTCAGTATTACATTCCAGCAAATATATATATAATTGAAGAAAATACATGAGTACGCTAATAGTATGCAACAATTTTTATGCCTTTAATCAACATCTCATATATATGTATATGCATATATATTCAACATATTGCATAGCTACAATCAATAGTTAAAACACAAGAACAGCAACTTTGTTGTGTGACTTTAAATCTATTGAGAACAACATATGCCTATTAATAAAGAACATATTTTGTATATGGAAGTAATATATGAAACTAAGCACAGTGTCGATAAATACTATCCACAGCTAAATATATACACACATATATAATTCTACAATAGTAACTCCATTACAAGCTATAGTTGATAAGATTGCGTTACATAATCAAGGAACAATTAAAAAATTATATTGAAAGTAGCGTAGCTTTTACCTCTAAGTCAAAGATTTCGAATCAAACATTTATCCCAGGAATTAAACTCCAACAGCAACAGGCCTTTTGCTTGTTTTGATTCCTTTGATAGCTGTAAACAGAGGTAAGTAAACTCAAGCTTAAGACTTGATCAATTCATCGCTAATTAGTAATATGCATATAGAAAAATTCTATATAGATCGTTTTTATCCTTGCCTTTTGCATAATCAGGTGCGCCGAAAACAGCAGAACCAGCAACTATTGCATTGGCTCCGGCTTCAATTACCTAACAAAAAAAAAAATTCTCAACTATTACCATCCTTTCGGTACATGCATGATAAACAGGATACCGAAATAAGCGAATGAGTGGAAGAAAATAAAGTAGAAAACATAGTTATAAGAAAAGATAAAGAAGGTTCGAGTTGTGACCTTATAAGCATTGTCAGGACCGACTCCACCATCTACTTCAATCCATGGGTTCACTCCCTGTAAAGCCAATTGAAGAAAGAGAAATTTTTAAGAATTTTCCAGGAAGCGAGTAAATCAGAAATATATATATACATATTTTCATGTGTGTGTGTGCAGGCGTACACACACTACCTTCTCGGCACACATTCTTCTCAACTCAGATATTTTCTTTACTTGACTCTCGATGAAACTTTGCCCACCGAAACCGGGGTTCACGGACATAATTAGCACCAGATCAACCACTGCTCATCAAACAAGAGAAAAAGGTTGAAATCATCACTGATTTCAGATTACTCATTTTCTCAGATTTACAAATAAATTATAACAGGATCATGTATCACCAAAAACGTATTCAGAAAGAATAGACTGCTTAGTATTATCTCAGAAATGAAATTAAATTGTCCCTCCTCGCTAATTTTCTTGATGTAAATATATGCATTAGAATGGCAACCTAGCTGTTAAAGATGAAAATAAATAGATAATATAACTGGTTCTCCGAAATGAATTCATCCATGGTTACATGCTTGTTTAGGAAAAAATCACTAATCATCATGAAAATTTTCAACCGAAAATGGATGAAAGCAATGCTTGAATTATGAAAGATGTTAATCTTACCATCAAGAACATACTCAATCTCCGACAGTGAAGTAGCAGGGTTAAGGACAACTCCAGCTTTAGCACCAAGGCTCTTAACCTGAAAAAGACGACATTGAAAGAGCATGCAAATATAGATAAAATGCTTAGACTAAAATATAAATAATACCCTTTCGATTCACTCTGCAAAATACAAGTCGTGAAAACTTATTACATTTTAGTGAATAAAAGCCAATACAGAAGCTAAATTCCCACCACTGACCACAGAATTCGAAGAAATAAATTACAGACAAGAAAGAAGATCGTTTGAAGAATAGTTTTGGCATTAGAAACACTTGTTATATGAGTTGGCAGGATAAAAATATTCGAATACTCTTGATATCCAATCTTCTTTACAAAGAAATTTAGAAAACTCTTATATGACATATAAATCCCACAGACATAAGTGTAAAGAGAGAGAAAGAGATAGACACAGAAAGATTCAAGAGAAGCAACAATGCAGCTGAGAGTCGAAACAACTCTTGCCCTGTACACAATTAACTAGTTTTCAGACATGATCAGAGAAAGGTAATTGAGATTCTTGATTTAAAATTCAGATGAAGAATCGAGCCTGACATATACAAACTAGTTAAACAAAACGCAGACAATCTGTTTCTGTACGGCATTGCCATTTCATAATCTTACTTGATTCACCGTTCGATGTAAATGGATGGTTGAAGATTGTTCGCAGTGAACACTAACTATGTCGGCTCCAGCTTTTATGAAGTCAGGAATTCGCTGCTCAGGCTCCACAATCATCTGCCATGCTTTAACAGTGTTAAATATAACAATCAAGACGCAAGTTATTGCGCATACTTATACATAAACAAAAATTTTCAAAAAAATCACAGTACCAAATGCACATCCAATGGCAGATCCGTAACAGGGCGTAGTGCACCAACTACAAGCGGCCCAATTGTAATATTTGGAACAAAGCGACCATCCATCACATCAACATGAATCCAATCACAACCAGCTAACTCCACAGCTTTCACCTAGTCGCATAAAATAAAACAGAAGGAAAGTAACCATGTAAACCAATTATCTCCACTGCAAAAGTTACCGTATAAATAATTAATCAAAAAATGCTGATGCATATTTTATTTCAGACCACAAACAGATGAAATAGTTTCAGCCGGTAAGATTGAAAAAGTGATTCCAAAAGCAAAGTTAACATAATGAAATGTTACCTGCTCCCCTAATTTAGCAAAATTTGCTGAAAGAATAGACGGAGAGACAATAATGTCACTTTTCGAGAACTTATCAACCCGGGCAGATGCCTTCACTACAACTTGTGATCTTCTCCTGTTTCAAACATAAGACAAACCTGTCACATTCAACAAGCTAGCTAAAATGTTTCAAGAGCGCAAATCACAAAATTAAAAGCACTTCCCAGCGCAAAAGCTTAGACAAAAGGCAATAAAAGAAACAAGTCAAGAACCACGGGCTTTAAATGGCATTGATTGCATACCAAAAGAAACAGGACCGAATAGCAAAGACAACTTTCCAAACCCAAAATCAGGGCAGTGATTAATAACTCCAGAGTTCCTTTTATCAAACCTGTCGAACGCATACATTACTAACTAAAAAACTCCTGAAGTTGAATGACTATCTAAGTCAGTGTTTCTTTCGTTCATACTTAGAAATCAGAATCCCCAAGCAAATCATTTCCAAATTTCAAAACTCCCTTTCTACAGCATGAGAACCTTTGTCCAAAGCCTTTGTCTATCCTTTCGCATGAAAAACCAAATCATATGTTGCCACATGTATAATTATAAATTTTAAAAGCGAAATTTTAACAATAAAAAGTGAAATTCAGGCCGAAACTCGAACTTGATTTTTGAGTGGATATTCTAAGTTATGGTAGTAAATACAAGGAAATAGAAATACAAAAACGTAAAGTAGTGATCTCTAAATAATTCTCCGAGAAATTTGTTGTTGATCGAAGATTCCATTGATTTGCAGAGTCATTGGGCTTTTATAGGCAACTTTCAGGCAATTAGAATCAGTTTCTGGAAACTTCCCTCCTGAGTTTTGTGGGATTACTGAAAAGATGAATTTGACCGTTTGCAACTAGCTGTGGTGGAGTGGACAAAAATATGAACCGCAAAAAATGGAAGCGCACAATTCGGTAGGAGATTAAATGGAATTTGTTCCCTCTAGAGGCCGAATTTTGTATATTAACAATAACATATATATATATATATATATCTTAATCCCTATGGCTATCTAATTTTCGATATCAAGTGTCAGTATATATGTAAACTCAGCAACATTCGATAGGAGGAGATGACACATGACAGCACAAAGTTTCGGGAAAGGGTCTCATCCCACCTTCGAGACCTTTAGCAAATCCCAAATTTGAATATCCATGTTCATAAGCTTCAAACAAGAATGGATATCATCTCTCCTAAGTCATGGTTCACTGAAATTTCATACCCAAAGTATATAATTTGCAATGATATCATTTCAAATCCCTAAGCAAATTATTCGAATTCTAAAGACAAAGACGCGTGAAGAAAATACTCCACAAATTCTTCGAACTTCAGTCAGGCATAATTACAAACAGGTGGAAGGCACAAGCAGTGCAGCAATGAATACCTAAAATTTAACCCTAATTTTCGCCAAAAGACCTAAATTACACCAATTCTCCGACCGATCACTACCATTACCGTCCAGAAAAGTCGAAAATTGTAGAGCAATCGAACCAGCACACCCAATTTCGAATTACAAGCATAAGAACAGCCCGATTTGGATAAGGCTCCGGCCATAATTACAAGAACGAAGAATTTCATACCTCGAGGAAGAAACCGAACTAGGAAGTGATGGATGAAGCTTTCGCGGTCTGAATCCCCCGTCGATTGACTGAAGCAGAGTAGACGAACCCAGCGAGGCAGCTACCGACGCCATATCTACAATTTCGAGAAGCACTGTGTCCCGCTGGTTGGATTATGGCTCGTTGTTCTTCAGAGAATTGGGCGAATTGGCAAGAAAAGGGAAGGATATGGGTATGGTGGAGGATGTGAGGCGGGCATATATGGAGGACACGTGGCGCGAATCGGGGGGATGGGTTATCTATCTGCAACGGTTGGCCATTGTTGACTGCTCCCAGGTGATGATGATGATGGTGGTGATTGTCTTCTTGCGCGTCGAATCAAACCCGAAATTATGCAGTCTTTGGATCGATCGATCGATCGATCTTTGTCCGAGGAGTAGAGGAAATGCAGGGAGGGATCTGTGTGCGAATTTAGGCGCGATCCATGAATGTCTTTACGTGAGGTTTTGGCAAAAATGATTGATTTTTATCTTAGAAACTCGGTGTGTTTCTTTAACAAAATTTCTTTTAAATTTTACTCATCCCCATCCTGGTCCGTCCGCCTCTGATATCAAATATTAATTATTATATTCAAATATAATATAAAAAAAAATTACAAAAATTTTTTCATTACTATTATAAAAAAATAGTAATAGAATAACATCTATAAAAAAAAATATATACAAATATAAAATACAATGACCTTTAAAGCGGATAGAGAATAGTATTATACTATTTAAATATATAATTTTATTCACGTGACGTTCCATCAAATATTATTTTAATATCAAACTCAAATCAATTTTTTTTTAAACGAAATAAAAAAGAAACATTTTTATGAGATTCCGCTCATGCATATATCCAAACACTCGTATACAGGGCTGTGTTTACTTGTACAATTTTTCATCTTATTTTATTATTTGATTTTTCTTTTAAATATTAAATCAAATATTATTTTTTTATTTATTATATTATAGTATTAAAATTTAATTTTATATTTAAAATATCGCATCAATATATATTCATGTTACATCATAAGTCATAATTATTTTAGTTCAAAATTTTACTATTAAAAATTAAAAATCAAAATTCTACAAATAAATACAAAAATTCAAACCAAAATACTAAATAAATAAATCCAATATTTTTAAAAAAATCGGGTCAATAAACATTAATTAACAAAGACTTATCACATGTAAAAAAAAAGGTTATGAGTGTTTGGATATGCTTGAACGGGATGTTCACTTAACATCTTTGGATGTATTTTTTATACATCTTATTAAAAATTGTGTTAAAAATATAAAATATTATATTATTTTAAATTAAATATTTTTTAAATTTTTTTTAATGAGTATTTATTTATTTTTCCCTTTTTTTTAAGGTATATTATATTTTTCAGTTTTTGGGAATTGCAATTCGACTTGGACGAACAAAGCCGAGTGTGTTTTTTTTACAATTCTTTTTTAAATTTTACTATTGTATTTATATTTTAGTATTTTTCAAAAGAAATACTCTCTCTATTCTAAATTATTTTTTAGAATTTTATATAAAAATAATAATATTTTATTAGTTAATAAAAATATACAATTTTTTTGATATTTTTATCCTTTAATTATGTATAATGTAATATTTTTAATTTAAATAAAAATTAAAAAAACTTTGATATTAATATATAATTATTATTTTTAAATAAAAATAATACAAATTCAAGTGGAATAAAAAAATACATACTACTGTTTTCTCTAATAAAATATTATTTTAATATAAACTCCAACCAATTTTCTCTAAAACGCACAACAAAAACAAAAATAAAACTCACACACTCTATAATTTATCCAATAAAAAAAAAAAAAAAAAAAAAGTAGAGAAATGCAAGACTAACAACCCCAAGAAACGCACCGGGATATATACATTTAATTGTAGGGTGTGTTTGTTGGGGAGATTTAATTTATTTTTCAAAATATTAATTAAATATTTATTTTTTATTTTTTATATTATACTAAAAATTAATTTTACATTTAAAACATCACTTCAATACCTATTTATATCATATAATACAACTATTCAAATTCAAAATATTTATTATTCAAATCCCAACTCAAAATCCAAATCAGTATACAAACAAACTTGTGCTCCCTCCGTCCCACATAATTTGTCCTTATTTTCTATTTTCGTCCGTCCTACATAACTTGTCATTTCTATTTTTGGAAATATAATTATGCACTTTAATCGCATTTTAAATTTTAAATTTGATAATTTTCTTAATTTTAATTAAATTATTTACTTATCTTAATTTTAATATATAATTATTTTTATTAAATAATAATTATTTTTACTTATACACTTCTTAATTAGTTATTAATTATATTTTACCTCTCGTATCTACGACTATACACCCATATTAGATGAAAGAAAGGACTAATAAATGCTGTGCGGATGTGGCGCGCCAATTAATTAAAAGTGTGGGGGCCACTTAAATGTGCCCATGTCATATGTCGGCTCTCTTTATTTTGAATTTTTTATTTTATAAGTTTTTAAATTTCCTCTTCCCTGTAAATATTTACAATGCGGTTTTCATTTTGTTACATTTATTTGCACTCCTTAATAATTTATTTCGCGCGTAAAGTTGTTTCATTTTTTTCGACAGTGACGCCTATTTATAGGTCTCCAATTTCATCACTAAAAAAAATACAGCTTCTAAATTTCTCTTAAAAAAAAAAATACAATATGATATCAGAGAAAGATCATTACATAGTGTCGATGGACACTCCGAATGTTGTCGGAGAGTCGAAGAAATCGGGTTCGGGCTTGAGGTATTGGATTTCGATCGATTCATCGGGCCAAGAAAGTATTTTCGACGCGGATAAGTACGCCATCATGCAACGTGTACAAATCCACGCTCGCGATCTTCGTATTCTCGACCCTCTCTTGTCCTATCCCTCGACAATCCTTGGCTGCGAAAGAGCCATCGTTCTCAATTTAGAGCATATCAAGGCGATCATCACATCGGACGAGTTATTGATTCATGATCCATCGGACGATAACATTGTTCCCATTTTGGAGAATCTTCGAAGAAAGCGAAATAAGTGTGATTTTGAAAATGGCGCAGAAGATGATTCGCCATTTGAGTTCCGAGCACTCGAGGTAGCACTGGAAGCCATTTGTAGCTATCTTTCTGCGCGCGCATTAGAATTGGAGTCTACTGTTTATCCGGCTGTACATATGTTTACGTCAAAAATTTGCGGCCGTAATTTGGACCGTGTACGGAAGTTGAAGACTCGGTTGACTAGACTAACGGCTCGGGTACAAAAGGTTAGAGATGAACTCGAACAACTATTGGGCGACGACGATGACATGTTGAACTTTTATTTATCGAGAAAATTAGCTCGCCGTCGCGGGGATGAGAATGATGTCGAGGAACTTGAAATGATACTCGAGGCCTACTTTACGCAAATTGACGGCACGTTCGATAGATTAACGACGCTTCATAATTACATTGACAACACTGAAGATTATATAAATATCCAGCTCGATAACCGTCGAAATAGGCTAATTCAGGTCGAGCTATTTCTCAGCACCGGAACTATGTGCCTCGACTTATATTCTTTAGTAACGGCTATTTTCGGTATGAGCATTCCGTACCCATGGAACGACGGCCACGGATACGTTTTCAAGTGGGTCGTTCTATTGGCCGGCGTTATGTGTTTAATCGTGTTCGCATTCATTGTAGGGTACGCTAAATTCAAACGGCTTGTCCGATTTTGATTCTTTCGTGTCGAAATATGTTAGAAATATTTTAAATATTCAGTTTTAGTTTAGCATATTTATATTTAGTTTTAGTCTTATATATAGATTATTTTACTTATATCTGAGTCTGTTTTGTATTGCTTATATATAGACTTTTGATGATCAATAAGACAATTTCATTATTTTTTCAAAATTTCTAACATTTTGAAAGTAGCGGGAATTCCCGGCGATGATGTTCCGGCTGCCGGCGATCACATTGCTGCCGGAGGTGGGACGGAATTTGAATTTTTATTTTTATTTTTTTTAAATGGTGTTTTTACAATTTAGTGAAAAATTAATGGTTGAATTTATGTAGAAGATGTAAATTTTGTGTACTTGATGAAAAATATTGTCATCTTCTATACATTTTTCATGTCGTATTATGCACTTTTATGTGTTATCGATGTATTTATTTTATTTTATACATTCAAAATATTAATTTCTAATTCAGTAAATAAAATTTCTATGTATTAATAAAATACTTTTATATTTTAGTTGAAAAAATAACATTTGTATTTGACTCCAATTATATTCAAAAGTTTATTTTACTCTAACCAAAGGGAAATTAAAATTTGAAAACTAGTGTGTTTCTTTTTTATGGAGTTTGAAAATTTTTTATTTGAATTTGATATTAAAATAATATATGTTGTGAAGTTTCGTAATTTTTTTTTCGAAAAAACACCATCTAAATAATAGAAAAAATTTGGGGTCCGAGGCATAAAGAACCACATTGTTTATCTAATTTTTTTTTTTTCGATATAATTCTCAATATATATATATTATCTTATATAAACAATCAATATTTAATATAAAATATTATTTTTATATAAACAGACCATTTCTATACTTAACATAATTTTTTTTTGGAAATTAAATCACTAAACAAACATACCCTTTATATATATATATTATATACGCGCAATGTAAATTAAAAAAAATAATATTCTCTCGGTCTCATTTCAAGATAAAGTATCTATTTTTTTTAATCATACATTAATATCAAAATACTCGTAACATCTACTTATATTACAAATATATTATTATAAATGCAATTATTTTTTACGTAAAAAAATATTAAAATTTTTTACGCATTTCAACTAATTAATAAAATATTTTCTTAATTTATTACAAAACTTAAAAAAAAAAAAAAAAAAAACTCATTTGAACCGAAACAGAGGAAATACTATCCAATATGTCATTTGTATTATGTTTATGTTGGTTTCGTTGTATATATTCTGTTTTATATACTATTTTTTATATAATTTTTAATTTATTTTTTTATCAAAAATATTAATAATAATTTATAATTATTTGTATTATAATTTTAGTAATATATTTTTTAATTATTTATTAATTATATAATTCTTAAAATTTTGTATATTTGGCTTTTTTTTTTTTACATAATTAATAATTTTAAAATTTGTAACTATTTATATTTCAAAAATATTATATAAAATATATTTTCCTTTATAAGATTTGTTAAAATTTTATATCAATTATTAATTTTTTATGATTTTAAAACTTTGTTATTTTTTAAAAATTTTTATTTATTTATTTGTCACAAACATATATTTATTGTACAGATAATTTTATAATTAAAATACATTCCAAATTTCACCGACATAATCACTGTAAAATCGTACCGATATTATTGTATGTGTAAACACAACATATACATATATATATATATATTATATTTAACTGAAATAGAAACCCCAAAGAAAAACACGCAAACCACCACCACCTTAATTCTCTCCAAACTCTCGATTCTTCTGCCTCAGATCCTCCGGAGCACTCGCCGCCGACGGTCGCACGGCGGCGCTGCACCAATGCTTTGGTAAATGCATCCCTACTTCCCTCAGATTTCGTCGAATGTTTTGCTTTTGCTGCGAGATATGGTGCTGAGATTGAAGAGGTTTGGCAAGGCGGCAGCAGCAGAAGCTTCGAGTGCGTCGCCGATTACCGAGCGGGAAGACGACGCCGCCGTCCGTTCGAAGATTCCGGAGTTGAAATGCGGCGCGAATCTGTTGAATCTGATGGGAGTGTTCGCGATTTCGGTGATGGCTGTTTCTCTGGTGTTCTCCCTGTCCGTGGTGGTGAGGGACCCTCCCGCGGATGCTTTTTGGAAGGTTTCTGAGGCAAGGAATCTCGATTTCGACCTGCAGAAAGGTAACTGCGTCTTCATTTGAATTTTGCTTGTTTGTTCATTGGAGCCGACGGACATTCCGACGAAGGTAACTGTTTCGTTATTCGAGTTGCGATGAAGGAAATTTGTTGTTGCTTGTGGTTATTTATTTATTTATTTTCACTGCGGTAGATTGATTGAACACTGCTTGTGCAGTAATGCTCAGTAGGTTGAGAGATCTGTATTTGTGTGCCCAAAATTTGAAGAATTAATTGGAAAATGGACTGAAGAGGGTGGTTGGGGACGGAATTGCTGTCATTATGTTACGGATTTGTGGTCCAATCGATCGTAAAGTGCTCAACGTTACCGATTCTAGATACGAAATGAAAAGGACCACTGGATAATGAACTTTATGGAATTTTGTTGCAATAATTACAAAGTGAATTTTTCTGTGATTATTTACCTTGGGGAACATGGTTGAAACTTCTGAAACTAAACCTTAAATTGGGAGGACCGAGTCGTATAAAAATGTTGATCTTTCATTTCTTTGGCATGATTGAACATGGTGAATTATATTCCTCTTTATCTTAATTCTTTGATATATGACTTTTCTCTCCTAAAATGATCAAACATGGTGAATCTCAAGCCTTAGAGCTTATATATGGTGTCTGGAGCTATTGAAAATCTGGTGATGTATAAGAAGTTTTTGCCTCACTGTTAGTGAAATTCAGTTTGTGTTGCCACTAGAATTTGCCAAAGAAATGAATATCGACGCCACTAGAGTTAGGGAAGAACACAAATCTTTATCTGATAATAGGAAGTTTCTGTCTAGATGTTGTTAAAAGAATGCATAGCTTCCGATAAAATCGTGGATATTGTGAATCAATAATGTAGCAAAATTTCACTGTATAGTCGATATATTTCGGGTCTTTTTAGTCCCTAATATATTTTGAAAAATACTTAAGGTAAGTTTGCAAGGAATTGTCAATCAGATATAAAATGTTAGAATTGTCAATCAGAAGAGGATGAGAATACCTAAGAAATCTGTGATTATTTTTATATCGTCGATAAACTATGTCGTATTATAAAATGTTGAGGACCTGCTTTCTTGGTAATCTTTTCACTATTGTTTTTTAATTTCCATATTTGCCCTCTTTTGTAGTGATGGGGTCCTGACATGGCTGTGCTTTTAAATAATAGAAACTTTGTTTTATATACTTGGATGAGTCGAAGATCGATTGTCTTGATTTATGAACTTTGTGAGGTTTTACACTTAAAAAACAGGGCCTTGACCTTTACAATTGTTTATTCTTGACTAGTACTTGTTTAGATTCAACAAAAGTAGTTAGATCAGCCATTCTTATAGGTAGTTTGTTAACAGATTCTAATCTAAACATCGATAAAGTAATCTAATAGTCATGTCATAATCAACACAATAGTTTATGTTCCGAGTTCTGATATGTGAATATGTTACAGTAACTTTGTGTGTGCAATGATAAATATTGTTGTAGCTATATCACATGTTTTATTATTCTTCGCATTTTACTTTTTGTTCTTACTTTATGCATTAAAAACGTAATTAGAGAGGTTTACTGGTCATTTGTTTAATTGCACGTCGCTTTGTAATATTGTGACAATGTCATAAGTTCGTCGTATCTCCATTTAGCAAGAATCGATTAGTTTGTTGCACTTTTGTCTAAGTTTTGTAGTAATAAACGTAATGTTACATATATAAAGAAACAATTTTCAATTGTAGTCTCGACACTTTTACTTTAATACTCCCTCCGTCCCGACTAAAAGTATCCTTTGGAGTTTTGTACTAAATTAAGAAATAATAGTATTTTATTGGTTAGTGAAATTGTGAAAGAACTTTTTACATTTTTGTCGTATATAAAGTAATTATACGTGTAATGGTATGTTTGTAATTTAAGTAAAAGTTAGGACACATATCTTTACAACTGTGAATTTATTTCCGAACACATTAGCAGAGCAACTTCTCTTGTCGATTAATTTACCTTCTAAATTTCATTGTGTCTTGTGGCAGACAAACTACCCGACGAGGATCTTGCTCGGAAAATCAAGGAAAACCCATTAGGTGACCTCCTCGCGACGGGATTCGATAAAAAATCTTGCCGTAGTCGGTTCGAATCGGCCTTGTATAACCGAGGCTTGTCGAAAAAGGCTTCTCCACGCCTCATATCACGGCTACGAAGCTACGAGGCTCTACATAAGAAATGCGGACCGTACACATATTCATACAACAAGACACTGGAAAATCTAAAGCTCGGCCGACACCCGAGCACCCCTGAGTGCAACTACGTCGTCTGGATATCCATGGGCGGTTTAGGTAACCGGATATTAACTCTAACTTCGACATTCCTCTACGCACTTCTCACCGATCGAGTCCTCCTCGTCGATCGCCGCGCCGGAATTTCCGATCTTTTCTGCGAGCCATTCCCCGATACTTCCTGGCTACTTCCGGAGGATTTCCCGTTGACAAGCCAGTTCGGTCGTTTCGACAAGAACTCGAATGTAAGTTACGGGAATATGCTGGGCAGTGACAAGACCCGTTTGGCGATGGAACAGTATGTTTACGTCCATTTAGCCCACGATTATGGCGATCGGGATAAACTCTTCTTCTGCAATCAAGATCATCTGGTGAAGATCCCGTGGTTGATCGTGAAAAGCGATAACTATTTTGCGCCGTTCCTTTTCTTGACCCCGGGTTTCGAGCACGAGCTACATGGTCTTTTCCCCAATAAAGAATCAATCTTCCATCTCTTAGGCCGGTATTTACTCCACCCGACGAATTCCGTTTGGGGACTTATTACTCGATACTATCGAGCTTATTTATCTAAGGCCGACGTAAAAGTCGGCATCCAGGTGCGGGTCTTCGATCCGCGACAAGGCCCGTTAAAACACGTATTGGATCAGATACTGTCGTGTGTTGCGAAGGAGAATATATTACCGAAAATCAGCGAGCGGGACGGCGTCGATGTTCCCGGGAAGGGAAAGACGGTAGCTGTGCTGGTGACGTCGTTGATTGCGGCGTACTACGAGGAGGTGAGAAATATGTATTGGGAGCATGCGACGGAGAGCGGGGAGGTCGTCGGGGTGTACCAACCGAGCCACGAGGGGTTCCAACAAACAGGGAAGCACTGGCACGACAGAAAGGCGTGGGCGGAGATGTATCTACTTGGGATGATGGATAAATTGGTGACGAGTTCTTGGTCGACGTTCGGGTACGTGGCGCAGGGGGTGGGCGGGGTGAGGCCGTGGATACTGACGAAGGCGGAGAACGGAACGGTTCCTGAGGTGGTTTGTAGTAGGGCGGAGTCGATGGAGCCGTGCTTCCATGCTCCGCCGTACTACGACTGCAGAACGGGACGGGGGGCGGATATGCGGGGGCTTGTGCCGTATGTTAGGCACTGCGAGGATGTGAGCTGGGGGTTGAAGCTGGTGGATATTCATCAAGAATGAAGGAGAAGAGGTTTTGTTATTATTTTATGGTATATGGAGGGTCTTCTTGCTTTCTTTCGATCTTATTATTGATTGATTTGATCATCGGCGTTTTGGACTCCAGGTATGTTCGTCTATCTATGGCTCTTGCATTTATTTTATTTTATTTAGCAATATTTAATTTTGCTATCCTATGCATGCTGTTATACGTACTTTTTTATTTATTTATTTTTATTTTTTATTATGATTATTGTGTTTTGTTGTTTTTGTGAATTTATATCTGGGGTAGATGGGATTGCCGGAAACAAATTTCGTAAACAAAAATAAAAATGAATTAACCAGGGAAATTAGATCGATTCCAAATTCAATTGAACTGAATCTAAAACCAAAATTGAACTATTAGGCCATTTCCAAATTATGGAACCTATTTATATAGTTTTAATGCAAAAAAATACAATTGTTACTATTATTTCAATTCATTTTGCTATTTTCAAACGCCCTGCAATATTTATTTTTTAGTTTGTCCCAAGCATATTGCAATAATAGAAAATAATTAATTATACTTAATCTCTAGTCTATATTTTATTCTCTCACATCATCCAAATAAAAAAATAAAATATATATTTATCTCTGCATCATATTACCTAATTTTTAAATTATTTTACTTAATATTAAATATTTTTAAAAAATATTCTTCAAATATTTTATTTTGTATATTATTTTAAACAAATTTTTATATCTACAATTAATATTTGGATAAATTATATAATACCTCTTTGTATTTGAGTAAAAATGTATAAAATATAGCATGTTCGGTCCGTGAAGATTTCCCAACCAAAGAGAGGCAAAATCGATTTGGTGAAGATGAACAATGAACTTATACAAAGTTTAGTTTATATGGGAGAGAAGAGGAATCTGTCATATACAATGGAGGTACGTATGAGCCAAACCAGCTTTCGAATGCCGAAATTTATATCAATTTAACACTGTATTTCTTTTATTCTCATTGCCACAGTAGTAACAAACGAAAAAAAAAAAAAAAATTAATATTTTGAAAAGAAAAATAAACATAATTATATTAAAAATATATATAATTTTTTACACTAAAAAAAATAAATAAAACTTGGAGCCCATTCCAGCCCCTCCTTAGAGATGCGAGCAAGGGAAACTTAAAAGGAACTTAGAAACTATGGTGTGTTTCTTTTGATTTAATTTGAAAAATTTTGGTTCAAATTTAATATTAAAATAATATTTAATGAAATATTTTTAAAAAAATATAAATTCCAAATAATATATAATTTAAAAAATTTGGACAAACAAAAACACACCCTAACAGACCACCTACTATGGAAAAATGAGACGAATTGCATGGCGAAATTGTGCTGAAGAAAAAGAAGATAGTGTAGATACAAACTTCGATTCTAATTTGGTAATTAATTAGGCAAATATTTAAACTCTGTTTACAAACACATTTTTATTGATTTGACACTATTTATTTTTCAAAAAATATCACATCAAATACTTTTTCTTTCGTAAAATATCAAATTAAATACTAACTTTTTTATTTTTTTCAAACTTTCAAATTTCTAAAACCTAAAAAAAAAAAAAAAAACCCTTATCTAAACAAAACCCTTAGCTTTTCCAAAACCTTTTATTATAATAAAGGAGTTCTTTTGTCAAACCGGGCTGTGCTTAGAACTGGATTTTGAGTCCTGAATTGAAATTGTGCGATTTTACCAGCAAAACCTGACGCCAAAAACCGCTGATATTCCTACAACACACCGCGCCATTTAGAATATACGAAAACTTACCTCATCGGAAGCACAATAAACAGCCGAAACATGAACTCGTCCGTCCGTCCGTCCATCCACACCAGACAGTAAAAAAACAGTTTGAGCTTTTACCTGGATAATCACAATTCACACGGTATGTGAGGGTCGAGAAACATAAACCATAGCGTTTTACACCCAACATATAACTCGGCTACACGGCCATTATTCGAGTTTCTCAATTCTTCCTTCCTTCACTCAGGATAATGTGATATCCGTGCCTGAATTTATCGTCAAAAGCACCACAAAAAAATCAGGCTTATCTCTATTCTGAGTATGATGAAAAGAAAAAAACTTCAAAATTAAATTGATAAAAATGATAATTCGGAACCCACGTGGATTTAAATGGTGCGCTCGTCACCCCGACAGGAGTGTTGAATGCAACCTCCTGAAACGGGCCTGCCATCTTCCCGCGTGGAAACCATCCGAGATCCCCACCTTTCTTCCCGGACGGGCATTCAGAATATTCTGCAGCTATCTGAAGAAGAAACATGCACAAATAAGGATAAAAGCTAGATTCTTGCAATTTGTGTCGTGCCGGTGAAATTCATCGACCACATCTACTTCCCGAGGTGTGTTTTGGCGTTCTCGAATGTTTTAATAGATGCTACATGTTATGTTTTAAATAATAAAATATGTATTTAATAAGATGCTTTGAAAAGAATACATTGCCTCCGTCTGCTAACAAATAGATGAATTCGTATAAAAGTACAAAAATATCCTTATTAGATGCGAGTTCGTACAACCCAAGAATATTTTACTCTTTACACATTTACACATTATCCACTAAATATAAAATACCATTTTTATTTAATCAACGTACAAATAGTAAATATATCTATTATTTGAGAACGGATATAGTAGTATTTAGATACTTTCTCCATCATTCAAATTTATGCTTTTTTTTTTTTTTTTTTTTTCATAAGTGTTTTCATATTATTTATTAACAAAAAGTACCTTTATTTTTTTGTACTTTTTTATTACAAAAACAAAAAGTAACAATTATTATTTACTTTTATTAAAACACATGCTTGGATGACAAAAGAGTATTATATTTTAAATGAAAATTAAGAACATGATGTGATGCTTTTTAAAAGAAATATATATATTATTGTAGAGTGAATAATGCAAAACTAACATTATGAAAACAAACAAATTCCTAGCTTAAAGTGCACAGTCAAAACAATGTACAGTTCCCTGACTCTAAAACGCCCAAGAAACTACATAAAATGGAATACCACCTTAAATCATAGCCGCTAATGAGAATTTCTATTAAGTGGCACCTTAATTATTTTGGTCCTTTTAAGTGGAGTGTATCTCATTAGTCGTTTGTATAACCGCATAATGCTCACGTAGAGGATCCCCCTAAGTGCATGCATAAGTGCTAATGTAAATACAAGATCATTAGGGCAACGACAACTAAAATACACAATCATTTTCGCACGGAGTCTACTTAAAGTACCTTGGCAAAAGCAAGACATAAATCAAAACTCAATACCTTAGCAAACTCGGCCGGTGGAACCTTGTCTCCATTACTAAGCCATCCGTCTTGTAGCTTCTTATAGGCTTCATTGATCTTACCTTGCTTCTCACACAAGATATGCCTCGCTAACAAGGGTCAACGGAAAATTAGAACAATTAATACTTAGGGTGTGTTTAGTTGTAGATTTTTCTCTGTTTTTCTCCCAAAACATCAAACCAAACACCAACTTTTTTATTTTTTTAATTTTTTTACACATCACTAAGAACCAATATTTTATTTAGCACATCGTATCAACTCCTATCTATATCATATCAAATATCTATTAAAATTTAAAAAAAAAAAAATTTATTCGAAACCCAAACCCCAAACAAACACACCCTTGATGTCTAATAAACGTAATCCCCATGAAGCAAATAAATACGATGCACATGAGTTGTGAGTATGGGTATAACAGAAGAAGAACCTTTAACATAAGTGCAAGTCCCGAGACCATCTCCCTTCCCTCCTTTTCCTTTACCCTTGGATGCCGAATCATCACTTGCCCCGGCTGATTGTTTTCCCTTACCTTTTCCACCTTCCTTCGCCTTTGAATCCTTCCCCATTCCTGTCGATGGTACATTCTTAATAACGAGAAGACCAGAATTATTACAGAGTAAATGAAAGGGCTGCCAAACTACTCTTTTGATATTTCCCTCGACAATGTGTGTCACAAGTACACATACAACTAACCAATGTTAATATGTTATCAAACCGAATATAATTCATTACTACTCACGTCAAGCAAACACAACATTCATTAACAAACGAGATTCACTTGGAAAAGAACACACAATCATTTTGTTTTTGTAATTTTGTTTCCACATTATGCAATCTATGAATCTACAGGAAAATAACCTTCCCCAACATCTATTTTTCTTCCAAATCTATTTCGAGTTCCAAAAATACATACGAGAAATTTTCTATTCAACACATCACATCCAACGTCCAAAACCTATTTTGCATTCACATATAACATATATATACATAAATATAAATGTATTTAATTATATATTTATATATATATATATATAACTATTATGCATTCAAAGCATCAAATTCAAAACCTCATTTTCCATTTAAAAGGTCATATTCAAAGTAGATTTTCCATTCCATTCAAAAAACATCACACCCAAGTCCCAACCCCACTTTCCATTGAAAACTTCAAATCTAAAACCTATTTTAAATTAACAAAAACAAAAATAATAACGATGATACATTCAAAATATGAAACAATCCCGAACATATGCTGCTGACTGGCATTCATAGCTCTATTTATCATTAATAATAATTTTTTCAATTTTTTTTTTTTTTTTTTTTAAAAAAAAGCATCACATCAAATATCAATTTCCTATTACAAAAACATCTCACCAAGTAACTTAATAATGTTATCAAAATTTTAACTCCAAAACCTCTGTAGTACAAAATCAACCAAACAACCAATGCTGAAAAAACACAGAACACGAACTCAAACCGGAATCTAAAACCTCCATTCTACTCATTAACCACAAAATAATATCAAAACAAAGGTCCAAATTCACACATACAGCTCTAATTAAAGCAATAATAGTACGACAATATCGATAAACAGTACCGAGTAATACCCAGAGAAAACACTCATATTCTACAATCAATCTTCATCAATTTCACGAACTCAAAAACGTAGAACTCTCCCTATCAGCCAATTATAATTACAGTCTCACTAGAAGGATGTAAAAAGAAAATTAAAATCGATGTTTTTTCCTTCGCACGACATGATCGGAGTCGGAGATGGAGGAAAAATCAATTGCAGATGAACTCACCTGGTTAATTCGACTATGAAGAGATCGATAAGGATTAAGGAAGATAAAGTGATTCCTACGCGACCATATGCAGAGAAGGGTTGCTGCGGATGCTTTATACTACTGACATTGACATTTTTACCATTTTACCCCTGTTGAGGTTAAGATATGACGTATTTATTGTTTGATCGTCTAATTTTTTGTTAATGATACATTCACCCCCTTATAGATGAAAAACGTGGATAGTAGTACATTCGAGTTGGGGATTTAATAAAAAAAATGTTGGGCATTTTTAATTTTTTCTTTTTTTTTAAAAAAACATTACTTTGAATATGATAAATTATATACGATAAAAATATGAAATCATATAATTGATACTCAAAGAATTCTATCAAAACATATGATATATATTTTACTAAAACTATAAAATGTATTTAGATATACTTTTAAAAAAATTTAATGTTTTGTAGTATTATTTTTAAAATAATAAAAATAGTAAATAATATTAAATACAATATAATCTTCTTTAAAGGTAACAAAATTGTCAATATTGTAAAAAAATAAGTTTTTTAAAATAATAGGGTGAGTTTTACGGAGATTTTTTAGGTTGTTATAAGTTTTTTTTTAATAAAAATGTAATATAATATTATATGATAAAAAATACTCCTAATAAAGAAAACTATATTCAAAATATGCTTTTAACTTAATATAGCATTTGATGCATATATATTTTCAATAAAAAATGATATATTTAAATATTAATTTTCCTCTAAATTTTAACAATTCTAAACATAAATGCCCGAAAAACACAAATAAAGGATGTATTTGATTGGAAATTTGAATTTTGAACAGTAAACAATTTAGATTCAAATAGTGGTACAGTGATATAATGATATAAATAGATATTACGTGATATTTGAATATAATTTTTTTTTTAATATAATATAAAAAAATAAAAATTAAACATTTGATTTAAATTTAGTGAATAAAAAAATTTAAGATAAAATCTTCCAACCAAACACACATACTCCCCGGCAAATATTTACTCAACAAGCCGTTGTTACCGTTTATATTCAAATGCCAAGAAGTCTTAAGGATGTTAAAACCGTGTTATGTTAACTATCAAAATCTAAGTTAAGTTATAAGTCAGTCTCTCGAACGGGTCTCATGAGCAATTAATTAGCCAATTGTAATATAAGCAGAACCTGTGTTTTATTTGTCTGGTGGTGTCGAAAAGCCCATCATGTATTGAGTGTTTGTCGAGTCGCAATACCTACTCTGAATCAGAGTCTTGGAACGACATTTGGGTCGCATTCGTTGGCTCCTCGTCGGTGATGGAAGGTGGGACGAGCTGGTTTGACCCCGCGCTTGCTCGTCTCCTCCGGCTTGGCCTGTCCCTGTCCGCACTCTGCATTTAGCTCAAGGATTGGTTAATACCCGTTGGACGAGGAAAACATAGAACATTACTTCAATGTAAGAATGACTTGAATGTGAGCATTTTCATATTTTGGGGGTTGTAGGGAAGTTTTTGTTTATAGTTGGTAATGACTAGACTTGTTAAACAAGTCAAGCCAGCTAAAGTATCTGATGTTTGTGCTCAACTCGAATATGGTACATGCTTAACTCGACTCGTTTAGAATTCGAGTAGTTAGGCTCGACTTCAAGCTTAAGCTCAGCTAGCAAGACTCAAACTCAAGGTCGGGTTCAACTCAAAATTTCTACATATTATATATATATATATATATTTAAAAAAAACTACTCTCTCCGTCATCCAATTGTATGTTTATTTGACCGGAGACGAATCTTAAGAAAAATAGGTAAAAATAAAAAATTTTACTTTTTTTGGTAAAGAAAAAGTAGAAAAAATAATATTTGGATGATGAAGAGAGTATAAGTTAAATAAATTTGAATGACAACTAAAAAATGAAACGAAAATAAATTTGAATGACAACAAAAAAAGAAGGTGAAAATATATTTGGATGATGAAGAGAGTATAAGTTAAATATATTTAATTTTATTCACAATTTATTATAATATAGCATTCAAATTTCATTAATAAGGAAAAATTTTAATATATGAAATTACATACTACTACATATTAATATATAAAATGATACATATACATATCATTACTAAGGAGCTCAATCAAGCTGCCAGCGACCCGACCTTGAACTCAACACCTTTATAGAAATAATAATTTTCGAGCATGAGCTTGGCTCGTCTATTTCTATAAATGAGTTGAGTGAAGCTGCTAACAATCCGGGTCAAGTTTAGCTCGCGAACTACCCGGTTTGTTTAACAGCTCTACCCATGATCATTGTGTATAAGTTATATATATATATATGTGTGTGTATTATATACCTCGGATTCGGCCTGGTTGTTGGATGGCGCTGGTTGGCTTCTCTTCAGCCAAATTAGGCCAAACGACATTAAAGCGGCCAAGAGCAGAGAGGGTCCGATTCTGGGGTCACCGAGGAAATCGGAAAAGGAGGAGACGAAGCCAGCAGCCCGATGTTTGATGTTTTTTCCAGATGAGACGACCTTTTGGGAACCTCGTGACCACATTTTATCTCCCTCCTCAGGCACCAGCTCAGGTGATTTTGTTTTCTGCAGAAGATGGTGTGTTTTTGAAACGCGTGGATGAAATAAGATCGGTAAAAGTGTAACTTACGAATGGAGGGATCTCTCTGGCGTCGCCATCTTTGATTGTTTGGGAGATCCATTTGATGATCTGGTAATCAAAATCATCGATCATTAGTAATGACACGGTCAGTATCTAAAGCCGACTTGAAGGAAAGTATGCCAAACATGGCGCATTTTCAGCACCAAACATAAAATACGGTTCGACATATTTATACCATAGTTCAACAATTCAACACAAGCTCGGATGTTTTATATATTTAATTAACTTTGTGTGTGATTCATTATATTTTTTATACCTTTCAAGTGAACAATTTATGGAAGCTTCAAAGATTCTAACCTCCGGAACTTCGGTTGAGCCATTGTACTTGGCGACGAGCGTGAATACAGGATCAGCTTCGGTATGCATTAAATCAAGGAAGAGGTTGTTTGTCTGTTTCCTGGACTGCACTATTTCATTATTTGTCTCATTCCTCTCGTAACGGATTATGATCAACCGAGCCACATCTGTCATCAGCCTCCTAGGACCGCACGTCTCGAAGCTGTCTTCCGAATGAATATGGAAGAAACAAAATCTCTGCAAGAAAGAGGTGGTCTTAGTTTCTATGTTTTTTGCAAGATGGTAAAAGAATTACCAAAACAACGATAGCCATTGCTACCTAAAACATGTATTGTACCATAGAACAAAACCAGGGATGGTGTTTAATGTAATAAGCACGGGATAAAATTAGCATATAGGTACGAAATGAACAAAAGGTCTAGCTCACTCTCTGATGGTTTCCACAGTGGAATGCATTCTCAAGTCAATAAAACAAGTAAACTTATCGGAATCAATGAAAATAAGAATGAAATTTCCAAGAATGGATGAAATTCAGGTTAAGACATTATAGCTAGGGCCAAGAACAATAGAATATAAAAACCTAAGGGTGCCGTTTATTTTGTATATTTACACTATGCAATCTACAATAAAAATAAAAAATAAAATAACCCGTAAAAACATCTCATCCAAACCTCATTTCCATTCAAAAATTTACATTTGGGCAGGGGGGCCCGGGTCTCTAGGTGAAATAATTGTTGTATGTGATGTTTTCTGAAAAATTTAAAATAGAAAAAGGAAAAAAAAAATTATATGAAAAAAATCCCTAGTAGTTTCTATTCAAAGTACCTCAAATCCAAAACACCCCAAAATCCAAACAAACATACCCTAAGCCTGATCCAGGAATGAAAATAATCTCAATCCATCGGGACATGCATCAACATGAATATAAAGTTAATCTAATATCATATTTCAGATGAATAATTATTTTATTCTTAAAGAATTCTAAAAGCTGAGAGTACAACTAACAAAAATATTCAATGCCGTGCAGTCAATAGTACAGATTTAAAACAAAGATGCCAGTATAAAGCAGGACCAACACATGCAATGGTAATTTGATTTAGAACAAAATCACTACAAGAAAACCGTGTAATAATAGAAAGATGAACACTCACATTCTGGGTTTCCCCATCTAGCCAGGCAAATGTCAGTCTCTTTTGTTTCAATGCCAAGGTAGCTGGAGCTGAAACCAGGTCTTGATTGCCTATATCTGACTCAACATCGCTCGACAGCTGATCTTGCACGCTGCGTATGATCTTTAAACATACATAAATTGCATTACTTCCAAAGATCTTTTATACTTCCTTTATCTCAAACATTTTGCTATTATGCCTAATTTGGGATGTTCCATAACTTTTGCAACTTTCATTATTTACACAATTTTATCTCTTTTATCCTTCTAAATGCAATTTATAAAATCATTCCAAAAACAATTAGGGGCAAAATTGTCGGGAAATGATCAAAATTATATCACCTAAAAAACTCAAAAGCAAAACAAGTAAAAGTTTCTGTATGGAGGGAGTATAAGACATGAGATAAGTCTGATATCAAAATCCCACTTATTTGATATCTGAAAGAAAATTTTCCTGGATAATGACTTGAGCCGACTGTATTGGAAATGCAGACGGTGGCTTCTGCCAACTTATCCATATCTATTCCAAGTATTTCTAATAGAGCCATGAATTTATAATTATGTTGTAAAACTCGGAGAGCGTATTCTGTGTAAGAGAACTGATATATGCTACTACGGAAACCATTTAGAAATTTCTAATACCATGGAATGAAATTCAATGATTCAAAAGAAAATAGAGAGATAGGTAAAGAGCTCACTCCACGCATTTTGTTGAGTTCTTGGCTTGGCCTTCCAGCAACAATGGCACAGTACCAAACCTTGACGTCCTCTCCGGCGCGAGAATGGCCATGGACATCACAGCCGAGTTCCTTTGCAGTCACGTTTCTCAACTGGGGAAGCACTGAAAGCAGGGAGCACAAATAATGAGATCCAGATATCATATAATAAAAAATAAGTGGCTTCATATGTTCTGGAAATGATTTATGCAAAGACACTGGTGATTGATCATCTTGTAAACCACTGATAAAATCTGATGTATCTTAAAGCAAGTGCAGTTTGAATCCAATCTGATTGTCCTTCAGTTTGCTTAAAAGAGACATTAAACAAACCCAAAATTACATAAAGCAGATTTATGAGAAAAAGAATGATACAGTCCAGTGTGTGTGTTTGTGTGTGTATGGAAGTTCTGCCGAACAAAGCTTGTCAAAATTTTTAATAAACTCTGGTCCTTAAAACATACTCCCCTCGTCCGGAAAATTTAGCCCCATTTCTTGGTATTTTTACAGAGAAATAGGACTAAATTTCCCAGACGGAGGGAGTATTAAGTGTCACCAAAGAGGATGCATTGAAAAGTCAATTGTAAATGATTACAGCATGAGTAAGAGAAACCTCAGAGAATCAGGAAGGAGAAACTTTGTAATGTATCTATAAAATTTATAAAAATGATGTAATAATATCTCATGTCTTAACAAAATTAAAAATATATATATATATATATAGTGAGATCATGCTAATAGTTCAAGTTTTTAGGTGAAATGGCAATTCAATTACTCTAACAGTACGGTCTTTATAAGCTAGGATAGGTTATATAATAATATTAATTACATTAACTTGATTAAATATTAGAATAATACGCGTTCCCAACAAATTTAAGCTTTCAAGTAACATATCATTAAAGCAATACAATGTTACGAAAATCTATCTCATACAATCAAAAAGTGAATGGCATAACCAAAGAGTCTAAGACTTATCAGACATTGGAGCACAAGTTCCAGGACAGTACCGTGATGTTTATTCTTCTCCATTAGATCTGTAAACTGTGAACTGTTGACCAATCCTGCAAAAAAAAATTATTAGATGATATTCGTTCGGTTAAGACATTATTAAAATTGACTGGTAAGGAAATAGATAGAGTACATGCCTTGGTAAACAACAGGATCAACTCCTGGATCTTTTAAAAAAACTATAGCAGGAGCTGACTCCACACCAAACCTGTTGAATTAAGAATGTTGTATAAATGAGTAAATGACAAAAAAAAAGAATCAGCAATTTTACCATGTTAAAATATATAACATGGTGTAAAAATATCGTTACAACAGTCCATCTTATGTACCATCAATACACAAGGAAGTTCTAAGTATTGAATTTCCACCAAGGGTGTGTTTGTTTGGAGGTTTGGATTTTGAGTTGAGATTTGAATAGTAAAAATTTTGAATTTGAATAATTGTATGATGTTGATATAAATAGGTGTTGATGTGATGTTTTGAATGTAAAATTGATTTTTAGTATAATATAAAAAATGAAAAATAGGTGTTTGATTTGATGTTTTTGGGGGAAAAAAATTGGATGAATAGTAGAAAAAAAATCCAATCCCTCAAACAAACACACCCCAAGTGAAAAAACATGGAGAAGGAAGCATAAACAGTTGCTTTCTCCAATGCTTGTTGAAACATGCAAGTTTATCCACTTATAATGCTTGGTGGAATAAAAAGATCATGCTTGATTGATTTACTAAGATCAAGGGCACATAAGAATTCAAACACAGAGATAACACTCCCAAATCAGAGAGAGAGAGAGAGAGAGAATGATAAAGAGAAAAAACTACATACACATTCCACCAAAAAGATGATTCATCTTCTCTCCATAAAGCAAAGGCAAACGTAGCATATGGTGAATAGTCTTTAGCAGCCTGACGAATGAATGGAGTAGCACGTTCTCCAGTTTGTGAAATCATAATTACCTTGACCTACAAGACAAGGTTGAGAAAAATTTCATGCCCAATAAATTAATGATACGACAAAAACTTACTCTGTCGAACACGAGAGCTATTGGATATTAAATAGCCGTCTCCCCTAAAAGATTAAGCTTGTAGGGATACGTATCATCATTTATTTATATATTAAGGATCTACCAACACCATCCAAATAAACCAATTTCAACACCTGAACTCTATACAAACTAGTCCACAACCACTCTTTCCACTTCAAAAACTTCGAAAAAAAAAATAAATCAAATTTAAAAAAAACTCCCAAAATATTAAAAAATCCCAAAACACAAGCAAGCACAACCTGAATAAATCACTATTATTTGTAAGGAAGCCGATGAAAGAATTTTCTTTTTCCTCTTTTTTTAAGATAATCATAACTGAACAAAATGTAAAAATCAACTTATCAAAAACGGCAGAAAGTTCAGTATAGACATAGGCAAGAAAACTGAGGGCACACATGGAAGATAAACTATTCACATTGATTTATTGATTAAAGTATGTTTGTGATACAAATGACAGTTTTAGGAAATTAAATTGAGTATTTTATGGTATGAATTTGGAGATAGATGATATATGAATAATATGAAGGTGATGAATTGTATGCTTGATTTGTTTTTACGTGTTTCGCAACAATAATTTATTTAAATATCAAGTCATGTTTCATTAGTGGAATACCTTAATTAGGAATATATAATGTGACACTATATGTGATTCGTACGTGTAATGATCAGGTTGAAGATGTCTGTATATATATGTGAAAATCAAACAAAAGTAAAGGATTCAAGATTTGACATGAATGAACCAGGGAACATAAAACATCAATGTCTGATTCGTATGTGTTAGTATTGGCAGTAATCTGTGATATATTTTGTAGTCTTAATCAGGGAGTTGATTCTGACTGCGAAGAGGTGATTTAGTTTCCTTGTAATTTTAAATTGATGTATTTTCTGATCATTTGCATATGGAAATTAGGATAGCACCTTCATATTTTACAATATTAGGTACTATATATTATGAGTACAAATCTTGGAGGAGAACAATTACAAAATGATCAACATTCAATTACAAGGATTATCGTTCGAATTTTAATTTCTTATCCTTTGCATTACTATTTATATCTCTTTTTTGATTCTCTACTTCCAACTTCAGTTTATCATTTTATTTTTATACAACTTATTTCAGCATATTTTATGTATATAATTCTACAATTTACACAAATTAATTGTATTTTAGTGCCAGCTCACTTGCTCTCCAACTATCAATCATGATAGAATTGTACATTATTTTGAAACCAGCAAGCTACTTCCATAATTAAGCGGCAAAAGGAGTTTCTAAGTGCAAGCAACCATCAACCCCATGCTTTCATCACATTCAAAATGATGCATCTTAACACAAGATAAAGCAAAAGAATCGATGAGAACTTTATGAAAGTAACGTACATTAGTGAATGCTGAGCAAAGAATATACCTGGTGCGGTTTGCTTTTAGCCAGAAAATTCTGAACCTGAAAGAAGGGAAAGTTCACAATAAGTGTATGTGAAATTAAAAAAGGTAGAGGTGCCATCTTGCAAGAGCGGGTACAGAATACATAATATTTTTCGACGTAAACTTGAATTGCAGGATTAAACTAGTTCAGCAAACCAATTCGGGTATTGTTAGAGGATTTGTACCTTATTGGTGTAGATTATATTCATTAGGTAGACTATCTGGAACATAAAATGAACTTGTGGCAAAAACAAAGCTTACTGCGGAATTAAATATGTGTGTGTGTGTGTAAGTACATATATATATATATATTCATGTAACTAGGGTTGGTTTTGACCCATGTCTGGCATATAATTTAATAGTTTAAGTTGTTCTGTATCTGCATATATCAGCCTGTATATAAATACCTCTAGCAAGAACTAATAAAATTTCTACACTCATAAATAAGAGTTCTCTTGAATTGCAGATGTTAGTGTGATAAACATGTCTCTAAAATGCAGCTAATTCTCAAAAGTATTATCAAGTGAACCAAAGTTTTATGTAGATTCTAGCGTAATACCAAAAAGTTAAAAAGATCATAAGACCACAGATATCAGTCTGATTTTGCTAGTTCTCCCAGATCAGATTTTGCTTTCTGTAGATATTGAGGTACACAATCATCACTGAATACATAAACCTCAATAGTCCAACCAGAATTTTTTGGGTAAACAAAATATTAGATTACCAATGACTCCTTGGAGTAATAAGGAATACGAGGTAAACTGAGAATGCTTGTTGCCAACCAGTCTGTGATTGCATCGATAGAGAGCTCTCCCTCATACCTAGGAAGAAATATCATTTAAGTCTACAATTCCTAAAATAAAAGGAGCGCAAGCTTCATCAGTTTATCTAGAAAAGGAGACATACCTAGAAAGACAACTTGAATCTTTACACCCCGGTGGAAAAACTACCAATGCTGGAAGTCCTATTATACAAACAACCAACAGAAAAGCAATAAAAAGTAAGCAAAACCAGTTCATCAGGTATTAACTACTTCACATCAATTTTCCCTTGATAAAATTAATAAAAGATGCGAATTTATATACTACAATTTATACTATTAAGAACAAACAACAATATTTCACTCATCATCAAAGTAGGTAACTCAAATTCCAACTTTTTCTTATTTTTCAACCTTTTGATTTCTCAGCTCTGGGGCTCATCTCTCATCAAATTTCAAATCTATAATATGCACCTGCGTGCAAAAAAAAAAGCTTTGGAAATGGAAACACATTAACCAAGGGGGAGAACCAATTAAAATCAAACATTTTCCTATTTTTCAACTTCCTTATTGCTTTCACATAAATCATGTTTCGGTTCTCAGAATTGAGGCCCCATTGAATTTCAATTTTTAAATGAAGTATCTGCAAGCAAAAAACAAGGCAAATACAAGCCTTAGTAATGGAAATAGGATCATTGAGGGAGAGAATCAATTTCAAAGAAGTAATAAACTCATGCACGCAGAAGCACTTCTCATTTAAAAAGATGAATTTTCAAATGCAATCCAAGTCATAGACTTCGTATATAATTTTGCTGGAGATCATCAGAAAATTCTGAATTCATTTCCAGAGAGGACAACCAGAAAGATCAGCATATGAATCTTACCACTTCTAAAAAAGGGTTGTCCAGTGTATTTTCTCTCAGCTAGATACACAGCAAGCTTAACATCACCAAGTTCAACCAGTGCAGTCTTTGCAACCCCATTCAGCAGATGAACTAACGTCAAGTAAAACTATTTAAATAGGAAAAATCTAAATATGTAGCTTAATTAGAAATGGAATAGTCAATAAATTAATGAAAAGTATCTAACCAATTCTCTCCCAGATGGGAACAAATTGCCTACAACGGTTGCTTCCCAACGAAGTAATCTGTTCCGGATCAAATAACACAATGTGAGAAAAGAACTAATCACTGAATCATCCATTTTTCATCTGATGACTGAGATAATGTTGTTACTTGTTAGCATTCTTTAATTTACTAGATCTGGCTGGTTCTATCATATAGGTTGATGTGGAAATAATTTTTTCTCCAAATTAAAAAAACCATTCCCTCCTTTCGAAGATAATTTCTTCACTATTAGCAGAAATTGTGGTTTTTCACATTGACATTATTAGTGAGAAGCTGCGCCTTTTGTTGTTTCAAGATGACTTATAATTTTTTTTGCAAGCTTCTACAGTGTTAATTGTGAAGTATAATAGAGGCATGAAGTCCTTAAATTGTATTTAGTATATGAACGATTGTATAATTGGGTGCTTGGTCTTTCCTCTAATGATTGTTTAGCTAGCCGTCAATTTAACAATTACAAAAACCTGGCTGTATCAATATAAAAGATTCAATATTTCAAAGTGAGAACCTACATCATGATGACCAAAGCAAAAGGAAAACCTATATAGTTAGAATTTAAAATTACTGATCTGTAACAACAAATACGACAGTCACCTGAAGTAGCAAAGGTTTGTCATCTTCAAATGAGGATAAAAAGTTCTCAGAGGTGATTAAACCAAGATCTCGATCAGCAGGGTCTACAACAAGGGTACAGATTTATTAAGATACATTTGTTATGTATAAATAAAAATATATAAAATGTGTTAATCAAGATAAATAAGTGATTATCTTGAAGGGGGTGAGGGGAGAGTTCCTAAACTATAGAGAAGATGCCTGCACCAACCAGAGGAAGGAGCCACTATCAATGGAAGGTCAATTTCAGAGAGATGTCTTTTCCCAGAAAGATTCCCCTTAACCTTTTCAAGAACATCCTACAAAAACCAGCAAAAGAGCCTAATGAAATACATACAGGGATTACATGAAGCATAAATTCCAGGAGTCGTAAATGAATGCAGAAAAAGAAAATACAGCAACAGGAAGATGCAGCCAAGAAGCTTACAACATATTCGTCAATCTTATACATATCATAGTCCCTTTTCAACAATGGATTTGTCAGAAACTCGAAGGCATATTGAACCTGCAAAGCCAAGAGATTAACCAATGTAAAGTAATATTTAGATCTTCTTGCAGTAACAATGTTTTCCAAAGTCATAAATAGAGAAATTTCTGTTGTGGTCATCTTGTCTAATTGCAACTAAAAAAGTTAAAAGAAGGAAGATGCCAAATAAGATCAACTAGCTTTAGCACTTACATATATAATGTTTGGCAAATTTCATGGGAGATGCACCCAATTTTAAGCCTTATCTGCAAGCGGCAGATTCTGCATCTCCCAATAAACCGAGAAAATAAGGCAAAAGATGCATCCATGCAATTTACGCTCCAAAAGGAACCCAAATGTGAAAACACAAACCAACATTGAAATCAAACGACAGTATATACCATGTCCATCCAAATTATTGTTTCATAAAGCACAATGCACTCTAACTTCTCTTTTAAAAGCCAGGTGTGTTTGGTTGGTTTGGGTTTTGAATAGTAAAATTTTGGATTGAAACAGTTATTTGATGTGATATACACCCAGGTGTCAATGTGATGTTTTGAATGAAAAATTTAATTATAGTGTAATTTTTTTTAAAGAAAAATATAAAGGTGTCTAATATGATGTTTTGGGGGAAAATTTCATGAATAGTAAAAAAACCTAAGGAACCCCACAACCAAACGCTCGTGCAACATAGAGTTGTTTGCTTGTGTTTTCAAATCCATTGTGGAATGTTCAATTGCTATTTTTCATCTAGAAATATCACATCCGACAGCCATTTTTCATTCAAAACATTACAACCAACAATACTTTCACTTCAAAAAGATCAAAACCCTAAGCACCAAAACAAAATCAAAACACAAGTAAACACACCCATATTTATTAGATTAAAATCAAAATGAAAGTTTTAATGCATCAAAATATACAATTAAATGATGTGACAAGAGTAATGAGCATTAGGAAAATAACATTGAACAATGCAACAAGGTAGAAAGTGGGAATAGAGTGTTTCAGACCTTGATAAGATCAACTGTGGGAGGAACTTCAACACTTGAATTCCTAGAATACATATAATAACATGCTTATAAACAAATCATACAGAATAAGATGTTCTAACCATGTTAACCAGTGTCTAATTCAAAACAATTACCAATCAACGACAAGAAATAAAAAACGGTTCAACACAGAAAGTAAGAAAAAAGTCAGTGTCTAATCAGGTAATACAAATCTGACATCAATACAGAGTGAAAGAAACATCCATACATCCTGCAGCACCTATAAACCCATTTGATGGTGTTTACTTATTAAAATATTAAACCAAAGCCACAAAATCAGAGCCAAAGTTTCTGATCAAACCAATTGGTGCCTTCACATAGCACAAATGAAAGGAACTATATTGCCTATTTACAATGTAAACTCATAAAGAATCGGCAACTCCTATAAGAGTGAAAATAACCAAACAAAAAATGCATTCCCGTGATACAGAAGAGTTTTTAACCAAAGCCTGGGTAAGCTAGGATATCCTCAAGATATCTACTATTGACTAAACAAAGTTGAAACATTACATATAAAACCACAATCAGGTGACATTATTTTCTTACCAACTAATCCATGTAATTCTCTCTGCCCACATGCATTTTGGTATGCAATAAAACTTCATCATGGTAACATTTACGGTAACAATGAAAACACAATTACAGTTTCCAGAAAGAACCGAAAAAGTTTCAATGAATTTTCTGAACTCCTAAGTTATAGAGGTAACTGTTCATCACTAAATATTTTCTCAAATATATCCTGCTCAAGTAGAAAAACCTGGAAAGATACCCCATTCTAATTTGTCTGAATAAATCTATCCTAGCATATTTCTTGCCCATATGTAGAAATAATCATTTTGTTTGATTTAATGCTTTCTCCCATTGTAGACAAAAACGAAGTACCATCTTTATAGGATTAGAGAAGTATCAACAATTAACCAGGTATAGCCCCGTGCATCATAAATTAAATCCCACAGCCCACTTCTGGGCTGGGAACATGTTTTTCGATAAAAAGCACCTAAATCAGGACCACGGAACAAGGTCTGGAGAAAAAAGAAAAGGAAAGAACTGTACAATGCAACTTGCAGAAGCAAAAGGAATATAGAAACATGCATACATACATACATATATAACAGTAGCAAATGGCATTACAATGTGTTTTTGTAAGAAGTTATCACTAAACATCATACTTGCATTCCTCTTTATAAAATCCATACAACTCTAGTGAACCTAATTAGTTGAATGATACTCAACCAACTTAATTCAGAGATGTATACATACGTATGAGAGTGTTATCTCCAACAAAGGACGCAAGAAGCATCGCAACCCTCAAAAAGGAGAACAAGCTTATATACCAATGAACAATACTCATACACACAAACATAAGCAAATCCATTAACAATACAATACCATACAATCTGTGAACTAAATATAGACAGATATAAACACTGTGCAGAAACTTACTCCAGCAAGCATGCTTTATCAGAAGAAGATAATCAAAACAAGCAAACTTCAAATCAAAATTTTACCATTTGGAGGTTATATTCTGGTACGCCTGAGTCACTTCTTCCACTGAACTATACTTAGGGATCCCCAAAACTGCAAAAATCACAACGACAAGAGCTAACAAATGATCAATCCATTATACTCCAACCGAAATCAACACATGGAGATGAGATTTTCGATGCGTACCGTCGTAGTAGGACGGCGGAAAGTTCCGCGGCAAGACGACAAGCTGGAAGCACAGAGACGTCGCCAGGAGCAGAAGAGGAATGGAGTAGGCTCTGAGAGCAGACTTGATAGACACAATCGAGAGTTGATTCTCCGTTGAAGTTCGCCGGCCGGGAGTCGCCATGAGTAAATCGCCGGCGAGAGACGGGAAGGGTTAAGGAGGTGGCGTTGGACTTGGTTGTGACTCCGTAGGTCTCTCACTAGTCTATTTCTTTTTTATTTTTTATTAATTAAATAAATAATCTTTCACATATACGTTCACCGAAGAAAAAATAAATAAATACACGCAAATTTTACCAAAATTAGTTATACATAATATAAAAAATATTTCAAATTAAAAATATTTTTAATAACTGAATTCAATCGATGTTTCTATACATAAAACTAAAATAGATCATTCTAATAATTTATCTACTTGGTTCAGCTACAAAATAAATATTTCTATCATAATTTTTTCACCTATATTTTTTAATATTAATATTATATTGGATTGTAATAAAATAGACAAAAATATCCGTAGTATAATGTAATATAAAAGTAATGGCATTTGTATAATATATTGTAAATTTGAAAAGGTATTTATTATGTTAAATAAATAGTAGAATTACTAATGGTAACTTGTTTTTGAATAAACGAAAATAGAAAATGATAACATTTTCAGGAAGTATTAATTTTGTAGAGTTTAAGAAATAAAAATATTTTAATTGTTGCTTACAGTTCAAAATAGTGTAAAATAATTTTTTTTTCTTTTTTTGTAAAAATAATGATATAAGAGGTATTTGCGAAAATAAAATTATTACTTTATAATTGAACATAAAATATGTTTATTTTTTGTTCTGGATATAGAGAGAGAGTATAATATTTATTTATCTATTTTATTTTTATATATTCATTATGTTGATTGAGTTTAATAAATAACATGTTACTTAGCATTATTTAGCACTCTAATTTTCCTCTCTTTTCTTAGTCATTTAAATTTGTGTTATTTTTTATTATCATAACAAAAATACATTTTCATTTTTTTTCTAAAAAAAAATAATTTTATTCATCTAAATATTTATCCATATACTTATATAAGTAATTACTACATAAATATCATTAATTACAAATGTTAAAACACACTTAAAAAAAAAAACTGATGTTTGATCTAACACATCTCTAATCCGATCTGATTCAAATTAAAATAAACTCTCTAATCCTAATTCATTTCATTTGGTTGCTCATTCCCCTCTCACCCCATTTCTATATCGAAAATCTACTTTTTATATTTTCATTGCTTCTCGTGTGATTTATAATCGATTTTCTATTAAATTTTTTAATTTTATGCCGTATTAGAACCTCCTCTTACTTTTGTCTGCTATTTTGATGGATGAATGACTTGATTGAACCATTATTAAGGGAGCCGGTAGTTTGGCCAATTTTGCTACTTTAACAAATGCATCGCCAATACTGCGGAAGTGGTGATGGAGATGACACATGTGACAGTAAGTTGGCTTAAAAATGATTGTATCGTCGATTATTTGGCTAATTCCTTAAGTCCCAAAGCATCAAATATATTGATTTAAATTTTAGTAAACACAAATATATAGTTAAGCAGTACAATTGATAAATACTAGAGTTGTAATTCACTGTTAATCGAATCTCCAAGCAGGACAAATAAACAATAAAAAAAAAATACATAAATTTCTGTACTCAATTCAATCACATAAAGATCTCTACATTTGAGATGGTGTTGATTACTAAAAACTTCAGTCGAGAATTACACCAACATGATCCCAAATTAATCCTTACAATGATTAATTCCAAGAAAATAAATATATAAGTAAACAAACTCATACCCATGCACTGCGAGCTCTCCTTAATAGACTCCTAACGAGTCTCGGCTTCTGCTTCTGTGAATCACTGCCACAAAAGATCGAATGGAATCAACCTCGACTTAGTTTTCAATCCTCGAGTAAATTTTCCTATAAATATTATAGTTTCCCAAGTAATTCGCTCAGCAATCAGACGACATATAAAAATTACCATTCAGTCATGATCTCCGATTAGATAACTTTTTTTACGATGAATTCGATCATTGAAAATTTGCCGAGGAGAAGTGATGAACTTAGCTCTCTCAATTCATTGATATACATTGTTGAAAGACCATTTTTCAAAATTTTAATTCACACAAAATGCATGCATGATTCTATTAATTCCGTATTGAATTTTAACAAAATTATCTAAGGCGTCATCCTACTAATCTTTGGATAACATTAGCCAAATTTTTTTTTTATGTTAACAATTTTGATCCTCAATCATAAAACAATAGAAAATAGACTTATAAATGTTCTGATCAAAGCATGTAATGTTTATTTTATTTTATTCTTTACTTATTCTTAACCATTTTAATCTCTTGATGGTGATTTTGGTGGAAAGATAACCAAAGTTTTGTAAAGATAGACTGTTATAATGTTAATACTTTTAACTTACTGAATACTAATGATAAATTTAAGAATCAAACACCAATTAGTAGTATAGAAAATATGATAGAAACGAAAAATACACGCTATGGTAACCCAATTCGAAAAATACTTGCCACACGTGGTTCGCCTACTATGATTTTTCCGCCGAGCCTAATTTGCATAGCATTAGGTTCAGCCAGAAATTTATTCAATGCACACTTTGTTCTCACATCATTAAAAAAAAAAATTATTATAGGGTGTGTATAATAGTACCCTATTAATAATAATATAAAAAAGAAAAAAAACACTATTATAGGTAGGGCTGGCAAACGGATCAGGTCGGGTCAAAATAAAAATTTATATTAGTTAAAAATAATTATAGATTAAAATTATAATTAAATATTTTAGTTAATATTAATTTAAAATGTAATTAAAATGTATAATTATATAGAAAAAAAAATGTCAAATTATGTAGGACGAATAAAAAAAGAAAATATTAACATTTTATATGAAATAGAAAGTGTATTACTCCCTCTTATTCTACTTAATTTGTCCACTTTAGTTTAGATAGAGAGTTTTAGGTACTATGTAATTAGTAAATAATTAAAAAGTGTATTAATAAATATAATTATAATTTAATAAAAATAATTATAGATTAAAATTAAAATGATTAAACAATTTAACTAAAATTAAAAAATATATAAATTATAAATTTTAAAATATGATTAAAGTGTATAATTATGTTTAAAACAAAATAAATTATGTGGAATCAATAGAAAAAAATTGACAAATTAAGATGAATGAAAAAAAATATTTAATTTATATTATAAAAATAAATAAATAATAGTTTGTGCTATTAATAATTTGTAATTTTCTACGTAAGCGATGCTGATGAACCCAAGCGCCGGCCACAGCCCACGTCAGCAGACAAATATGGCCCAATGTAGTCAGAGCCACGTGGCGACGTGCTAGAGGCCATAAAATTGATGTTCGTTAGTAAGTAGGTCCCATTGAAGTGACGATAGCATGATGAAACACGCAAGCTCGTGTCCAATCAGCAGCCAAACAGCCATCCTGTGTGGGCCCCACCTGCTGACGTGTCGACCATCGGACGGCGCCATAACTAACTCTCATCCCATTCACCCCGTCACAGTCAAACTATACTGCCTTACCACTGAAATTACTTCTTTACCCTCCTTAGAACGTTTGTTATAATAACGTTCAGAATTATAGTATGGATTGTGTTTGGTATGATATTTAAAAAATAATGAAACTTCTTACGTTCTTTAATAATTTTTCTATTTTTTTATTTTGGTCCGTCTCATAACAAAATATTTTTTTTTTCTTTTTAGTAATTGTACTTTCTACTAACATTACAAATACCTTTTCAGTTTACAATATATTACACAAATGTCATTACATTTATATCATCTAATACTAATAGGGTTAATTTAGTTTTTTTACATTTATTTCTACTTTATCCCAATATAATACTGATATTTCTAAAACTTCGTACAAAAAGCAAATAGATATATAGATATGAGACGAAGGGAGTATTATATTGGTAGTGGATAATAAGTACGGATAAAAGACTTTTTTGCGCTTGTGAATATATTAGTGTAAAAAGTAATGATAATTGTGTAATAATAATGAAAAAATAAGGTTAATTTTATAGTAATATAATTATTTATGAAAATCAGACTATTATTTTGAAACAGACAAAAATGGTAAATAGAACTTTTGTATTGAAACGAAGAGAATAATATTTTATTGATATTAGATAATTATGTTAATCTTTTAATTGTCAGGTAAATTAATGGAGTATATATATGACTTTCTCCAATTTCGGCACAATCGACATACTTTATTAGTAATACTATATTTAAAGTAATAATATTTAATTAAAAATTAAATTAATAATATTAAAAACTTTAGAATATATATTTAAATATTTTTTTTATGTAATTAATAATATTAATAATTTTAAAATAATATATCTGTAATTTATAATATGTATTAAAATATTTTAAAAATATAATCGCAATAAAAATATATGTAATATGAATATAATTTTGTAAATAATAAGATTTTTATAATATAATTAAATAAAAAATATATTTATTTATTTATAATTAAGATAAATTAATTTTATAAAAGATGTGAAATTTTAAATGAGTTCTACCTTATGTATGACATTATATGTTATGTTGTTAATTAAATTGATTTATACTTGTTAAGTATATTTTGACTTGATAAAATTTATATTTTGAAAGATGTCCATTGTTATAAGACGGATAAAAATGAAAATTGTGGTAATTAAAATAGGACGAATAAAATATTTTTTTTTTGTTTCAAATTAATAAAAAAAAGACGAATAATTTGTTTTTATAAATTTTACGAATGAATACTTATTTTTGTTTTATATAATAAAAATTTGTATATTAATGATATACTATAATATTTTATAATTAAAAATAAATCTTTTTAAAAAATTATTATTACGTATAGAATAAAAAACTTAAAAATAAACAATGGTAACTTTAATCTAATTCCTTTTAATTTAGCTATTTTTAAATATTTTGGACTGTCAGTTAAAGCTGAATATGTCATGAATTTTGTAATTATTGAATTATGGAATATTGTCACATTACTACGTACCCTATAAAATGTGGTTGAACTAAAAAAAATAAATTCATACTTATCCACATATAAATTCCCCAAATCACATTTTCCACATCCCAATGATGCTTAATAAACACTAAATTGAATAAATAAATAAACAAAATTAGTTAGATTCCTATGTTGAAAACACGGAGTAATCAAATATATATTTGGTTGTCTAATCAAATTTATTACTACTATTATTATTTACATGATTCTATTTTGTTTATAATATATATTCTAATTTTTAATAAAAAATTCAATATTTAGTACAATATATTCTTTTTATATAAATAAATAAATAATTTTTTTAAGTTTCGTAATCAATTTTTTTATTATTTTAATTCTATAACTAGAATTTGCATAAAAAAAATTTCGCTTAGCGCGCCATAGCATATGCGTCCGCCAGATAGACTTCATGTGGCGGACAAACGTATATTTATTTTTATTTAAAAAGAAAAACAAAATTCAAAAATACTTTTCAAAAATCCATCCAAACGAGAAAACCTAATTCTAATTCAAAGTCAAATACATAATTTACTCTTTTATACAACCAACAATTTCCCATTTTCATCGCACCCCCTTAATAGTTAACACATACGCACAAATATATATATATATACACATACATACACACACCATAATTATCATGTTAATCACAATTAACAATACTAATCACACTTTTAAATTTTAAATATATATTTTTTTGTTAATCTTTCCCTCTCAATTGATCAAATTTTTCAATAACTCCAAATGCAATCCAAATCTTGATCTTGATTCCCAACCCCTCCTTCTTCCAAACCCTCTTTCCCGATCGACGAATTCTCCGTGTCCCGAGACCCGAGCCCCTGGCTCAGGTCCGGGACATAGCCCGTCAGAAGGCTCCGGAGAATCGACCCATCTTGGAACCCGAACCCAGCCTGGAATGGGAATCCAGGGCCTGGGACCAAAGGGTCCAGGGGGTTGCCGAGGCAGGCGGCGGCGAAATCATCGCCGTCGCCGTCTTCAATCTTGGCATTGGAGAAGCAGTGCACGTGGCTCGAAGCAGCCTCCGACGAAGACGGGTCCGTCAACGGAGGAAGCTTCGATGCCAGGTCGGGTTTCTTTGTTAGCCCGGAAATATGCACTTTCTTACCTCCGGCTGTCTTGTGAAATACCCGACTGATCACCCAATCGTTCTGAAAAAGGAAATGGAGTTTCGATTATTTCAACCTTAAGAATATCAAAATCGTGTCGTAGTTTGAAAATATCGATACGTAAGACATCTTTCTCTCGTGTATATCGCTGAATGCACGTATGTCAATTTTTAAAAAATATGAATCATTCGAAGTCTATGCTTGAAAAGTTCTGATTTCGATAAAGAAATCATAATGTATGTTTTCAACACAAAATTACAATCACTAACAACTATATAAAAGCTTTCGAAAATTTCGAATTACAACAAAAATTATTTACATCTAAAGTAAAAACTTCCGAAAACTTTGAATTACAGCAAAAATAATCGTTAACATTAGTATATAAAAACTCTCGGAAAACTTCGAATTAAAATTAAAAAAAAAAAAAAGAAAAAAAGTAAGACATATATTCAGCACCAAACTAAATCAAAATACATGAAAATCGAGGCCAATGCTATCGACAACTGTAATTTTCATACCCTAAGGTTGATATTAAGCCTAAATCAAGCCAAAAACAAGCCTAAATCATGCTCCTAAAACTTCGAATTACCACATAAAAACGTAACATATACATACACACATAGAGAGACGAGATACGGATAAATAGATGTGTATTATGTGAGTGTTCCTCAAAACATTCGACGCAAGAATAATATGTAAAGATGAAAATAAGCCGAAATCATCGATCAAAAACTTCGAATCAGAGCAAAAATCATAATCATATTCAACGGAAAAAGGAAAAAACAAATGAATTACCCTGGATTGATGATTATCAGGGGAGAATTTGGCCTCCAATCTGTATTCATGGCAAACCCAATTTGATTTTTCACCTTTTGGAGCTCTACCCATGTAGAAAACCAGAGTTTTCTTCATCCCTACGAGGACTCTTCCCCGGAAAATTTCCTTATCTTTTCCGGTGGCTTTCCAGTACCCCGACGGCGTTGCTCTGTTCGTTCTAAGCCCCGTCGGATATTTCTTATCATTCAAGCAGAAAAAGTACCACTCCTTCTCGCCGTGCTTCGCTTTCCCTTCGATAGTAACAATCAAACACACAATCAGCTCATCGGAACTCAAAATTCAAAATCTGAGATGTTATTGTTACGATAAGTTGTGAAACAGTTGAAGACACGATCAGCTCATACAGCAAATTCAGAATTTGGAATTCAAAAGTTCAAAATCCGAGATGTTATTGTTATGGAAAGTAGTGAAGCAATCAAACACACGATCAGCTCATACAGCAAATTCAGAATTCGGATTTCCAAAAATTTCAAAATCCGAGATGTTATTGTTATGGAAAGTTGTGAAGCAATCAAACACACGATCAGCTCATACAGCGAATTCAGAATTCGGAGTTCAAAAAAATCAAAATCCGAGGTATTATTGTCACAGAAAATTGTGAAACAATCGAACACACACAATCAGGTCATACAGCGAATTCAGAATTCGAGAGTCCAAAAAATTCAAAATCCGAGGTATTATTGTTACAGAAAATTGTGAAACAATCGAACACACAATCAGCTCATACAGCGAATTCAGAATTCAAAAGTTCAAAAGGAATCAAAATCCGAGATGTTATTGTTACGGTAAATTATGAAATTCAGTGAGTAATTGATAGTTACGGAAGTCAGAGAGACGTACAGGGCAATTCCCAGGGCTCAACTCTGTTCATATCCACCTCTCCAATGGCGACGGCAGAGAAACCGCTGTCGATCGCTTTGTTCGCGAGGTAATGAGTGATCAACTCCTCGTCCGTCGGATGGAATCGGAATCCCGGCGGAAGCTCCATCTGGCCTCCGGCGGCGGAATTGCTTCCCATCGGCTTCGAAGTTCGATTCAGTTCGAAATCCTTCGCCAAACAATAAAAAATTAATAAAAATTTCCAACCGATTTCGAGATTCAGGGGTGATGAGGAACTGCTAAACGGGGAGAGGGGAGAGGAATTTGGGAAGAAAAGAGGAGGAGGATGAGAGGGGGCAATAAATAATGGGTGAGAAGAGAAGTATGGATTGGAAGAAGAAACGTGAGGTTTAAGCAACTGAAGCAGGTTTGTTAATGGCGTCTCTTTTCGTTCTTCGAATTTGACCAAATGCAGCCCACCTATGAAAAGACCATTTTGCCCCTCGTTCACATTTTGGATTTAGAACAGTCCTTACAGAAGCGTTCAAGCAATTTTATTTAATAATAATATTATTATTATTATTATGGATAAAGTATGTCCCATAGTTGTTTATATACTACTCCCTATAGAATATAAGGTTTATTCTTGTTTTGTTTATTATATTTTTATTTTTTAAAAAATATATATAGTTCACAAAATTTTAGAATTTTGTTTTATTTTTAAATTGGATCATTAATTAAAATTTTGTTAGAATAACAAAATATGTATTGTATTTGTATTAAGGTTTTCTGTATGAATTATATATTCTACTGAGCTATGTAATTTGCTTATTGTAATGAAATCAAAATATATTTTCCATATAGAATTATATAATAAGCTATCAAAATATGTGATATAGTATCAACATGTGTTGTTAAATATTTGCTATTTTATTATTTTTTTTTATATAAATATGTATTGATTGAATCAAATAATCAACCAACACTGCGATTTCATAAGTCGTTTGTGGGTTCGAATAATAAAAAAAAAGTTTGATTTCGAAATCCTCGATTCTGCTTGATTGAATTCACTTGACAGAGTCCAATTTTGATACAACGCATTTCAAAAATAAAATAGAAATCAATTAACCAAAGCTGTATGAAATTATATTACATGATGTCAGTTCATATGTATAGATATGCTATATGAATATATGTTATGTAATGTATTTGTATTATGTTAACATAAATAATGCGTTGTTTACCCTTATATCATATACAGATTATTTCTATATAATGTGTTGTCAATGCTATATTTAATTTTATAATTCAATAAATAATTTTATACTCCTTTCGTCCCACTTCAAATGAGTCTTTTGGGGTTTTTTTTAATAGTAGATTAAGAAATAATAATATTTAATTAGTTAATATAAGTGTAATACATTTTGACATGTTTGCCGTTTGACTTTATGTATAAATTAATTGTATTTGAAATGATATATTTGTAATTTAGTTAAAAAATTAATAATATTTTGGATCAAAAACATCAAAAGAACCCGCAAAACTGGGTCGAAATAGATTCAATGAAGAACAAAAGGCGGGACAAAGGCAAACATCGCAAGCACGAAGGTGTTCTCTCACAAACCTTCCAATAGCTTTTTCTACTCTTCCCTTACTAAAAAAAATTATGTCCCGTAAGAATTGGCTCGGTAATGTTGTAATATTCTAACATGCAAGCCACACAAAGTTGAGTGTATCAGGATTGTAGACTGGCCTCATAAGTCAACACAAATTATTTCAATGCGCTTATTTACACGAACAAACACATTATATTTAAAAAATTTTCAATAGGACTTTCGAAAAAAAAATTGTGTCCATTATTGACATAATGGTCTATTCAATCTGTTTAATCTTTATCCAATATAAGATGTCCTAACAACAGCTTATTCACATACGAGAGTTGACCTACCACCGGCCCAACTCCGAAGTATCACAAGTGTGGGGATAATCTTGTGACCATGAGGTCATATGCAGTGGCAGAACTAGAATATTAACAGAGGGGAGGGGAGGCGCAAAATTTTTATACAAATAAATTTTTTATTTGTAAAATAATACTACTATCATCCACTTAATAAATTTATATTTATTTTTTACATATTAATATTAAATATTAATTATTGCATCAAATATAGTCCAAATAGAAAAAAACAATCTTTTTATTAGTAAATATTGATATATTATATTTTAAATAAAAATAAACTAATCCAGTTTCTTATTAAAAACAAATCGAACACTTTGATGTTTTTATTATTTTTTTATTTATTTTAAATATTTTCTATAGATTATATATATATTATTCTTTTAAAAATAAAAAGATTTAATAAAATAGGATAAAAATGGGGTTGGGGTGGGCACCCTTGCCTCTTAATAAGTCTGCAGGTCCGCAACTGGTCATATGTTCAAATTTTCAACGTCTCCGGATCTTGCGTGCTACACATAATTAGCATAATGTGATTTATACAGGTGAAGGAGATTTGACGCGCGAAAGAACAAAAGAGAGGAAATTAGCATATTTAATGAAACACAATTGGAGTGAGATTTTGTTATCAAATCAAATCGGGTCGTATCGAGTAGGGTTTGGGGCGTATATAATGGTTTGAGTTTGGGTCGAAGTGAAACAAATATACCAATAATGCATAAGTTTAATGAATAACAAAATAAAATTATCATAATTTTAACGAATAGAGATAATTCTATTTTTATTTTGCTTTTATTTTTTCGAAAAAAATATGGGGAGTGTTTGTTTTCTGTTTTAGTTTAAAAGAATATTTTTTTTTACGTAAAACATGAGAATTATTTAAGTAATATAAAAATAATAAATATTCGCGGTATATTAATCTTTTTTCCAAAAATGTGTTAAAAAATTTTGGGTAAAAAAACAAGGCCATGTCTAACCAATGTTCTAACCAAAATTCAAAATCAAATTATTCCTATAGCATTTGAACTTTTTACAAGGTTAGGCAATAATGACTATAATAAATTTTATTTTTTTTTATCATAAAAGAATATATTAAAATAATTTAAAGCAATTTTAAAATAAATAAAAAATTAAACAAAAATACAAACTAAAGAAAAACTAGGTTGAATTGCAAATATAAAAATAAAAACAAATAAATAAAACATAACTTAATTGTTTTTTAGTTTATTGTTATTCAAACTTTAATTTAAATAATATTTTACGAAAAAATAATATATATTTGTTGGGAATCATAATATAAAATATTAATTAAGAATGGAAAGCAAATTTATTAAATCAGTATATTTTTTAATTGTGTTTTCGATCCATTTAATATTGAAAATTTGAAATTATGATATATATTAAAGTATTCGATTATTTAGATTTGTCTGATTTTGATTTGAAATTTATATTTTAATTTAAATAATACTTTTTTTTATTAGAAATTGCATAGAATAAATTAGTTATAATAATAATTTGTATTTGAAATATATATATTTTTTTTAAAAAAAAAAAACTTTGTTTACTCATTTCAATAATTGAAATTTGATTCGACCTTTTGGGATTATATATATATATAACAAAATAAAGCTTGTGTGTATACATACATACATACATGAATACAATCATATCCTCAATTATTGTGTATTTCTATTTATGATTTAAATAATTGACAAAGTCATCACTTATAGCATTAAATTGCAAGATTACATAAAATAAAATTTCTTCCTTCTTTCTTTGATTTGAGATACAATATTTAAAAATAATAATAATAATTAATTAATTAATTAATAATAGTAAATTATGATATTATTATTTTTATGTGAGTGATATTATTAATAATTTTAAAATAGGACTCAATATGTTATATAATTTAAAAGAAATTTAAAATACATATTTATATATTTTAAAAATATTAAAATATATATACTCCCTCCGTTTCATAAAGAAATATCAATTTGCTCTTTGCACGTAGTTTTAGAAATATTAGTATTATATTATAATATAGTAAGAATAAAATAGAAATGACTAAAATAACCTTATTAGTATGTGTGATATAAAACTAATAGCATTTGTGTAATATATTGTAAGTTGTAAGGGTATTTGTAATGTTAGGTAGATAGTACAGTTACTAAAAAAGAAAATGGATACTTTATTATGAGATGGACTAAAATGGAAAAATTGGTAGTTTGTTATGGGACGGAAAGAGTAATATAAATATTATTTGATAGTAAATAAAATTTGATATAGTATAAATAAATAATATATATTTATTTATAATTCCATAAATTAATTTTTATAAAAATTAAAAGTTTTAAATATATATAAAAATATTTATTTATTACGGAGAAATATAAATATTTTTTTTTTTAAGTGGATTTATATCATGTATGATATTATAAAGGGAGTATAGATTTGGATGATGAAGGGAGTAATATTTTGAGATGAATGATTGACTTTTTATAAATAAATAATACTCTCTCCGTTCAGCTACAAAATATATATATTTCTATTTTGGAACGTTCAATTACAAAGTAATTATTTCATTAAATACCCCATTTTTTTTTTCATAAATACCCATACTTTACATCACATCATTACTTTTATACCAAAAAGTAAGAACAAAAATATTATTACACTACTTTTACCTACCAACTATAATTAAAATACTATTATTTTTTAAAATCTGCGCCAAAAATAAATATATACTTATTGTTTGGACGGAAGGAGTATATTTTATATTAATGTACGTATATATTTATATTTTTTAAAAAATATTATTTATAAAATTTGTTACATTATAAAATATTAAGTGAATAAATTAATTATTATTATTTTTTCAATATGAAAACATCATATGATATAATAATAATAGTAATAATAATTGTAAAGATTTGTATCTCATTTTGTCAAGAAAGTCAAAAAGACTAATTTAACCTTTTTGAAAAAGGGAAAAGTGAGAATAATATTAAGCTCAGAGACATTATTGGAATTGGACTGCCACTGTGTTCTCTGGACGACACGTGTCCATTATTATTAGTATTATTATTACTTCTTTCGTCTCATGTAATATAGATGACACGAAAATTTAGGTAAAATATAATTAATAAGTGATTAAAAAGTGTATTAGTAAAAATAATTATTATTTAGTAAAAATAATTATAAAGTAAGACTAAAATAAGTAAATAGTTTAATTAAAATTAAAAAAATTATAAAATTTAAAATTTAAAATTTAAAATGCGATTAAAGTACAAATTAAATTTTCAGAAATAGAAAGGACAAGTTACGTGTGACGGATGAAAATAGAAAATAGAGACAAATTATGTGGGACGGAGGAAATATTACTTAATATGCTATGTGTATTTCTTTTAATTTTGTTCGA